CACAGATAAGCTTGGCTGCATCGAACGGCGAAGCCGAACACAACTTATCCTGAACGGTGACATCGGCTCACTGAAGCCGATCCATCCGGGATATTACGGCGTCTTGCAGACAGCCACGCAGTGCGTCGTTAAGACGTAACCACCGCCGTTTCGCTAACCCGCAGGTTGACGAAATCCTGTCGAGAACGAGGTTAGGCTTAACCAGTCGTAATCGTTACATTGCCCCCACCAGCCACCAGGCCCCCCCCCTCGAGGGCCGATTTTCGGAGTTCCGGACGCCCTTGCACATGTGTTCTGACACGATGCCCAAGTTGAATGTGCATTAAACATGCACCGAAGCCAATGCGCTATCAGAACGGCCAAAATCAAATTCGCCTACCCGTTTGTCAAGTACGTCCGGTCAGCAATCTAGCCACAATGTACAATGATCAATCCGACCCTTGTTTGAGGTGCGGGTCGAAAATCTTTTATTGGCACTGGCCGGTATATCTATGCTCCTCGGGCCTCTAACTGACCTATGATTATATATAGAACACTCCATATCTAAGCAATCGAAACTCCTTTGTTATTCACCATACACACCACTACTATTTCATGATGATTGTCATATCCGGTCGGAGATATAATAGAGGCTAGTTTCTGGTTACAAGTGTCATATACATTTGGACAAGAATTCCTTTATCAAAGGCCATGATAAGTCCCGTTTGAGCATACCTGAACTGGGCCGCGCCGCCTAAAAACATAATGGTTTCCTCGCGTGAATGCGGCCCAAATTGTGTATAGTCAAATTGCAACATGTTGCATATCTGTCCTTTAGCTAGTCATTCAAAAATCGACTTAGCAGATGCTATATATGATTATTGTCATGTGTCCTCAAATCCTTACTTCAATGATCAGACGACGTCGGAATGCAGGCCTCAGTGGTGCAACGGGCGCCCAACACGAGGCGCCCACGCATTATAACATTGTTGAAGCAACAGGTGAGGAGGTCAAGCGACAGCCCAACGCGTTGACCGTACATCTAAAGCTCAAAAATGAAACTCATTTCGTCAACAGGACTGTTCAGGGCGGGCTTATTGAAGGCTGGCACTCTTTTTAGCCAGATCTTTGTGATACAAGACGCGGAGAGCCTAAAGCTCGTGTCTTTGTTGATCTATCTCAGGGTCCTTCTCGTCTTGCCTTGGCCCTCCCTTGATGTCCTCAATTACCTCCTCCTTACTCGTCAGACCTTCCTCACCACCTGAATCGTTCCCCGGCCCCACCTTCTCATCCACTATTCCTTCCGTCAAGTTCGCATCTTCTGTCACGTTCGGACTCGTCACATTCGCCGCTGCCGTGACGTTGCCACTGATCTGCGCCGGGTTCCACTCCAACCACTCGTGCAGGGTGTTCGTCACCTTTCCGCTCATCCGTTTCCGCTGGTCCTCCCCGGGCCCGTGCCGCGCCAGAATCCACACGAAGCCCGCCGCCAAGAATGCCGCCAGGATGCGCGACGTCCATTTGGGCGGGTCCTCGTCGTCCTTGGTCGGGAGGACGCGGAAGAGCTCCTTGATGGTGGCGACGTCGTCGGAGAAGATGTTGGGCAGGAACCAGTACCGCTTGCCCAGGAGCATCCAGGAGAGGGAGAAGATGACCGCGCGTACTGCAGGGGGTTTTGCGATGGGGCGCTGAGTGAGCCTGGTGTAAGCCTGGCGGTAAACTTTCACTGCCAACCATGCCTCCCCCGTTCGTGTCAATATCTATGTGTTAAAACCAAAATGTTTGTCAGAAGAGACTCTTCGACGAAAGCGTCCGTTACAAGCTTAACTCTCTGGCCCGCCAAGGTTTTTAAACTGTTACACCACAAAGACACGGCCGCATACAAGTAGAGGCTAACTAAGCAGCTGCAACCAACATGAGAAGCTGAACAGAACGGAGGGGAAGGGAAAACCAGAACAAGAAAGCATGGGGAGAGAGGCCAGAGTGAAGCTTCACAGAAAGACCATGACCAAACACATCACGGAAATCGCACTGTGATAAGAACAAGAACGGATACCATATGCAGAACGGCAGGCCAAAAAAGCAATGAGAAAGTGAAGAGACGGAAAGCACGAAAATGTGGGAGAGGGGAGGAAAGCCGTACCTAGAAGCAGCCCGAAGATGAAGCTGAGCAAGAAGATGCAGAAGTAGAGCACGCCGACTTTGACGATGCGCGGGAAGACGGGGAAGAGGCACGCGCTGAGGGTGAAGATGGGGACGATCGCTGAGAGCGCCCACTGCAACGCAGACATCTTGCGCTCAAAGGTCCAGGCGTAGAAGCCGTCCTCCTCCGAGAAGACGGCAGGCTGCAGAGGAATGGGAGAAAGTGATGAGAAACTTGAGACCATAGTGAGGGAGGTGGATATTACGGAAGCAGCATCTGGACAGAATCTTGATGGAGTTGAGCACGAGAAAAGATACCTAGGAAGTGGTGAGAAGCGAGCTTGAGAATCAGCGTGAGGTTCCTGGCATACCAAACCGTAAAAGCAGATTCGACGAGAGCTCGAATGCAGGCCTTCAACAAGACAAGAACAACTAACCAATAAACCCATGCCCCCCACCCCAAAAAGCGTTTGGCTGGCTTCAGTGAATTAGAGTTGTCACTCCCTTTAACAATCAAAAGGGAACTGTTTCTCTGCATGCACCGAGTAGACACTACGAGCTTATGACGACCCTCACCTGGTACTCCACGAGCCTCGCCGGAAACTTGGACAGCTTCTTCTTCCCGGGGCGGATTGTCTTGTTCAGCCGGTCGCACCGTATCAACAGCTTGGCCCTGATCAACGCCTGGCCAATCTTCTCGACGTCGCTCATGCCCCCCGGGGCAGGCATCCACCTCACCCCAGCATTCTCAAGAGCAAAGGTCAGAAGCTCGCTCTGGCTCTTCAGAAACTCGGCAAAGTCTTTGCCCCGGAAGTACTCAACCCGCGCTTCCTTCCCCTGGAGTACGGCCCATCGCGACTCGAGGGCCTTGTGCGTGCGCACCTTGGTGGCGAAGACGTCGAGGGGGTTGACCTCGGGTTTCCCCTGCAGCAGCGGACCCGACATCATGACTTCCATCCGATAGGCATTTCTGACGGATCAACACGGCTTCGAATGCTTTGACACAGCATGAACTCTGGAGACCTTGAAGGTTTGACCTCAGGCTCGCCCAGCCATCACCACTCATTTGCTGGGATTGGATCTTCACTCGCCCTCAGGTGCAACGCACAACACAAGGTCCGCAATATGATACTCAGCAGAACAGTATATGCACCACTCGAATGAAACTGTCTGCTGGTTAGTGCTTAGCATATTAGAAGACAGTGACTTGGCTTCCATTTTGCCGACAAGCAAGCCCTTTCTCACCACTCAGTAGCTCATCAGAAAAGAGGAGGAAAAGGGATGGACAGTGGAAGAGCTGACAGGAAAGTATGAACGATGGATGCAATTCGTCGCAGAACCCGATCAAAAGTGGCTGAACCTTTTTTCTTGAGGAGAATGACTTCTCCGATCAATATTGCCAGTCCAATGTTGCTAAGGACATTTTGGAAAACCTGCCTGGTCAACAAATCAACCCTGCTCACCTTCCCCTTCTTCTTCAGATCTGCGGCTCCCATGACCACCACAGATCTCAAATCACAATGTGCGCTCCTCTGTCCACCCGAACCGGCGCTCAAGCATAAGCAACTCTGCGTGCGCTTGCTGTCCGATACCCCCTATCTGAAATGCAACTCCTGACGGCGCTGTCAAAAAAGACAATCCATATAGTGCCTCGCATAGCTCCTTGCGTTCTGCTTGGTTTTCAACACCTCAGAAATCAAGATTTCCTTTTAGGTAGCTAGTTAGACGATCGATAGAGCAAGGCCAAGGTCTCATTCAGTAACCCGCTAGCGTTACAGCGCAGTCGAGGGAAGCAGAAGCCAAAGGTCTGTCACGAAGTTGGTGATACAATACTGTCACGCTCAATCTGGTTTGCCAGAGGTTTGCAACTAACTACATAGTGCCTCCTTGATTGCGCAGAGCAGGAGCAGGAACTTTGATTGCCAGCTCGCTGCTCAGCAAATCGTCCAGGACGAAGGGCGAGGGCGCACCACTCTGCTCAGCAAGGACGATCTCTGCATTGCTGCGACTAGCCGTGCCGCTTCACTCAGAAAATGTAAGCTGTTCTTGGCTTTCAGATGTGAGCAGTACCTTATCTTCCTTTCTGGTCTGCCTGGATTGCTGTGCAGACGACCATTCTCATGGCTGCGGGGGCAATGCAATATACTCTTTGCGCTTTGTCTGATTCATCTACTTGTAATTTTCTCCTCCAAACGTGTCTTCGTGATAGTCGCATCACTGCGGCAGAACTTGTCTGGAGCATGCATCTTCAGCCAGCCCCTTTCAATGCTTACTTCAATAAGAACTCTTGATCTTCTTTGATCACAATAGATCATCATTGTTTGCCAAAGCTATTGCAAAAGATCAGCGTCAAAAAGTAAACTGGGCACGATCGGAGAGTCAAGCGTCTATGTTAAGCCGATTCGCAACTGGCGCGACTTTCACAAGCATGGGAAAAACGTGTCGCAATCTGATGGGCCAGCTCTGATGGTCTACCACTTTTAGGCGCTCACGTTGGCCGGCCTTGTGTCATATCAGTCGTGAGCTTTTCAGATGGGATTGAAACGGCAAATAGTGGTTTACATTTTCCGTCGCCCGTAAAATTCTCAATGCGGTCGGTTCAGCAATTTCATCAGGAAGGTGTCAGAGTTCAAACAAGAGATACTGAAACCCTAAGACGACATGTTTCTCAATGTTGGGGCTTTGAAGTTTGTTTGAACTGTAGCATCTTACGGTCGTCCTCACCAGCCAGCAGACTGGAAAAAAACATATGTGATACCCACCGTTTGTTTTTACCCAATGTGGAGCGCTTATGGTGCGCTCTCGGAACAGAGGAATGCTGCTTGCGGTTTCTTTGTGCTTGAGTCAGCTGTTTGACGAGCACCACGCGCTCATCTGTCCCCGTGTAGTGTCTCAGAAGCATCTCTGCAATGTTCAACACCATCGAACGACTCTTGGCCAATTTTTCAGAGGTGGTGCTGACTATTCCCCCAAGTGTGTTTTTCTCTTGCCTGCACACATAGACTGAAGGGGACAGCTTCTAGTCAATTGCTCATTCAGATTGATTGCTCCCCCATTCTGCATGAAGTGTCCACCTTGATCTAGTTTGGAAGGCCTGAGTCAGCAGCTTTTGGGTTGTCTCCTTCGCTGCGGTAAGATTCCTGGTTTGTCACTTTGGCCCATCTAGAAGAAACATCTGAAACCACAACGCTGACCACCAAACGGAGGCAGAGTCCACCAACTAAGCTGATCAATTCAGGTGACCCTTAACAACCTCCTTTCTGTAGGGCCGACGATGAGGATCCAGTGGATCTGAAGCCCGAGATCGAAGAGGATTGTAAACCAAAGTGCGCGAAGCCACTCTTCAAGTACAACGTGAGTGCAGCCATGCAGACGTCTCTGACCATGTGAACCCCCTTTTGTTGCTTTCAAGACCTTTTCTTTCGACTTATCTATTGTACTACTTTGCTTCTGTCCACTTGTTTGTTTCTTGGACAACGCATCCATACTGGTGATGGCACAACCCACGAGCACGTTAGAATCATCTTGACAGTAGCGTATGTGCGGTTCGGTACTTGGCAGCTATGTCTGGCCGGTCAATGAAAAAACTGGGAAGATTGCTTAAAGTCGCTGCTTTTTCTGCAGGAATGTAAAGAGCGAGTAGAGAAAGACACCACTGGGGAGAAGCACTGCACAGGGCAGTACTTTGACTTCTGGTCTTGCATAGACAAATGCGTGAGTCGCCTCTCCCCCTTCCGCAAGTGCCCTCCCTTTGCCCTTCCCTCTAGACCGATTGAGCCCCCAAAGCTGGGGTGGAAATCGTACCCTCAATCGAAGGCAAACACTTGGCCAGGCTCATCTGAGCAGCACTCTGGACGAAAACCTTCGGCATTCACACTTCTGAAGTTCCGCTGCAAGTAAGTGGACCGAACGCTTGCCTGGTTGCTTACGTTCTCCATATCATCTGCAGGCGGCCAACAAAACGTTCTCTCACCTCAAATAGACGCTGCGTCTATGTCCAGGCTGCTCAGAAAGTCTTCAAACAGCTGCAATGAATCTCCTCTCTTGCTCAAGTGCTAGCAGTACGAGAGAGCATGCAGGTGGCCTTAACTAGAACTGCCAATATCGAGTCCAAGAGCTCGGATGGCTGCTAGTAACATTCTGACTGTTTACAACGGCGACTGATTTATTGTGCTCGCACAATTGAAGACGTCTGATGTTCGAGATTGTCAGCACGCCCCTAGCCAGATGCAGATGCGGATGATAACAACGGGTCATGGTCATAATGTTTTGGCGAGTTACTTCCAATGATCCATGTTGGGTAGCTCGAATCGTGACGTGTCGCGGCACAAGACGATCGTGTGCTCTCGGATATGTGATCAAAGAAATGTTTGCGCCTGCGTCCGGCCATCCTGAGTCAAGTGTCCAAGCACCATGCAACTGGCATGCGACCCAATGTCCATGGGGTTTCGCAGCTTGTGCACGTACATGCTGACCGGTTTATGTGCCCATTGATACGGAAGCATACATGACTCATGGCATATGGCACGTGACGGTACAAATTCGTTGGGCACACGCATGTCGTTGAACATGCTGCATATAATATGCATATATGTGCAGAGATTAGATCGGGCGGCCACGGCCACGTACCATGAGGATCTATGCTTAGACGCTGCGCATCCGGCTGGGCAACCGTCCAGCCTTTGCCGTACCGATCGCCAAGCAATTTGCCGACTAAATTTGAGTCGCCAAATTTAGTCGGCCGTGGCCGGGGGCGGGCACCATGCACGTCGTGGTCTTGACTGTTTGGATCCAGACACGATCTGGGGCGCCGGGCTCGGTACTGGAAGGCTCTGTCTGCCAACCAGGCTGATTTGAGTCCGGTTCTTCAACGAACAACCGGGCTGTGACAACGTTAGACGTAGTCGCTACACAAAACGGGCTTGACAACGATGGACAAAACGACTTCCGTAGAAATGCCAGGCGAACTTAGGAGTCCGATTCCTGCTCGAGTCTGGGCATTGGACATGTGACCAGCTTCTAACCAGCCCGTTACCGATCATGGTGAACCGAAAGTAACCCTGCGCGCGCTATCAGACAGCTTGCCACGGTACATTTGACCAGCGCACCAATGGTTGCGTTGCAAATTCGAGTTAGACCCCAAGCGTGTCACTTGCTATCCTTTTCCGGCTTGCCTGCGTTCCTCTGCTTTCTTCCGTTCCCTTGTTGCGTCCCCTCCTCTTCCGCCGGTTTCATAGTTCCCTGTTGCAGAATGTTCTCCTCTTCCCCCGGTTTGAATAAATCCTTCAAGAGCCCCGACATGGGCGCGCAGTGTTTCGACTTGTATTGGTGCACCCCACAGCAGGCGTGCAAGGTCGCCACTTCGTCAAGACACCTGCATATCACGGGGGTTAAATAGTTAACCATGGTCGATTACAGGCTATTCAGAAGCTGCTTATGTCAAATGACCAACCGAGCAGTAACAAGGCTTCTATTGGGGTTGTAGCCCGATTGTTGGATTCAGAAACCAGATCCGAGCCTGGTACCGAACCTGGTGACACTCTAACATTGCGCAAGCCAAAGCATAAGGATCTAACATATGGACTCCAGCTCTCGAGACGAGAATGCTGCCGGTTCGAAGAGAGACGTTTGGAACAGACGCAAGGAGAATGTACGTCAAGAGCTCGTGAAATGCGTATCGAGCAATGAGACGGAAATGAACGCCTCGAGGAACAAGGCCGACTGAGATCGAGGTGATCTGGAGCGCGACGTGCCTCAAGACGTGGGGCTCGCCAGTGACATGGTTCTTCGTTGCTAGATGGACTGAACGACCGTCCTCTACATCTTTCAACAACACGACGAAGAACTATTCTAACACTCAAAAGGTCCAAATCGGTGCAGTGGCGCCCAAGCATTGTAGACCCTGTCAAGGCCTTGACCGAGAGGCAGGATTTGAGTGATTCTGACCTCCTCGGAAGTCCAAACGGAAGACACGACATCCTTGCGTCACCAGAAAGCAGGCATGTCTCTTTACACGGCTCAAAATCGTGGCGAATTGCTGAAGATCCATGTGAGACGGCAGCTATGCTACCCAGCTTTCAGCGGAACCAGCAGCTTCTGTCAGAGTAGCACGAGACAGTGTCCTCAAACGACGGGTATCTGAGTACAATCAGGAACAGAACTGCATCTGCGCACTTCCTATGGAAACAAGGCCTGGTGCAACCGTAGAAGTGGTAAAAGAATGACAGGAGCGTCCGCTTTAAGGAGCTGGTCTCAAAAAACTGCAGACGCGAACGTCCAGATGTAGACCAGGTTAGCCTACTTTTGAAGGCAGCCAGCTCACATGAAGGACCTTTTATTAGTTGATCCTCACGGGGACCGAGCCCACCAAATGATAAAGAGCTCTGTTTGTTTTCAAACCAAACATCTCCTCCTTCGGTCCAATCAAAAGTCTCTGCTTTGGGGCCGAACAGGGAGTCTGCGCCAAACCTCTCGTCAGCGCTCGTTTACCACTTGGCATTTGTTGCACGTACCCTTGAGCACCGTGTAGATCTTCTTCTGCAGGAAATTTGTAATCTGCGTGGCGCATCAAAAGAAACACTAAATGCAAAAGCGCGAACGCGCACCTCCGCACGTCGAAGTCACTGTCCCTCAGGCACTTTTCGACGGCGAAGGCTTCCACGTGGCACGCCTCCGGCTTCAGCTCCTCAACCAACCGGTCCGGGTTCTCGAACCACAGCGGCTTCGTCTCCTTTTTCATCGCGGGCTCCAGTTATGAAAGCAAGCCAGAGCGCCAGGTTTTGCCTCCCCGAAGCGTTTGTTTTTGGGTGCCTTACAACATACAGCACTTGTTCTGAGCGCGCGTGCTTTGCGGAGTGAATCTGTCAGTAGGAACCTAGTACTCTGGTCGGAGACAAAACTCCTGAATACAAAAGACCTTCAGAACGCGTACACTCGAAAATCATTGGCTTCTTCCTTATTTTCCCTATCGCTTCGAAGAAGTAGTAGTCCTCGAAGATGACGAGCTGCGAGACGCCCCAGTGCAGTATGGCGCACGCGACTCTTCGCGCACGGCAAGAGATAAGACCATGGCGCCCTCAGACCTTTCCTGTAACCGTAGCAGCTCGAGAGCGCACTAAAGCCTCGTGCCTTCAGAACCCTTGGCAGCCTAGTCGAAATCAAAGAACCTGCATGAACCGAGGAGATATATCCGATGACCATAATCTCGTCACTTTGGACGTTACGATGTTTCATGGATGATATGTTGCAGCACAGACGTCGAGTTTCCTGTAACCGTGCATGCATGCATTGCCGACAATGGAAGAAGTTGGAACGCCTGATCGAAGCCGCGCCCTCATTCATCATGCACCAGTTTAGCCGATCGTTGTAGTCCGCGCGGCTGGATCATTGCTCTTGCGCGGAAAAAGGCTAGAATACGTAGCTAGCCTCATGGTAATGCGAGCCACTGAGTAGGCTGGTTTGATCAGCACCCGGCAACTCACCCTATACGATCATCGGAGCTCACTGACTGGCAGGCTTGCCGTTTTCCACACATGCATACGACCACATGTGGTGTGCTTTGTGCACGGTTGAGTCGACGTCCTAAGGGCCCGGAAGGTGGCCATCAAAAAAGCAAACGCTTCAGGTCGGACTCCAGAAGCAGTGAGGACCATGTATCCACCGCGTGGCACCCGGACTGTCAATTATTTTGCCGGTCAAAGAGCATCACGGCTGCGCCATGTGCCTCGCCTCGCGTTGCATTTGGTCGCTCGGTGCGGGCAGCTCAGTGCACGATCATTGCCATCACAATACAATTGCGCGATGCAGTACGCGTGCCATGGCAATCTCACACGGCAGCAGACCTCCGATGGACGATCGACCATGCTCATGAGGGCCACCAGCGACGGTCATATCTGAGATGCCTATGTATGCCTGTGCCATGCACTGCATGGCAAGCAGCAAGCTAGCGGGTTAAAATTGTAGGCTGTTCTTCTGGAAAAACTGAGTCCTGCACGGCTCTTCGACTCGGGTTCGATAGTAGGCACGACTTTTCAAATAGTTCGCTCACATCCTGGCAGCGATCTTCGCGGGCCTCTAAACAATGCGTCAGGCTAGCTAGCTGGCTGATTGCACAGCCAACATTCCGACCTCCGATTCCAACCCACGTACTCCTATAGAAATGGTGGTCGGAGTGAAGCAAGCAGCAATAGTAGACGACCACATTGACGCAGTGCACATATCGAAGGCCAGAATTGAAACGGCACGTGTTGCGAGCAACTCGCATCCCGCAGGTTTATGAAACATGTTCTCGCAGACCCTTTATCCACTCAATCTCTAGTCGGTACGGCCCAGCTCCGTGTCCCCCCTCCCCGCTTTCTTGAGCTGCTAGCGCAAGACCCAACTGAGTCACTTTCGACGTCCCCATCTCTAGTTGCGCGTCAATCGTGCGGCCTTGCCATGTGGGCAAATAACTCTGTAACGGCACCTGCACGAGAACCAGGTAAGAGGTTAACGGAGCGTCATAAACCTCAATAAGCAGGTTAAAATGGGCATTAGCTTTATGCAGGATGAGCTCCAACCCAGAATATTGATCATTACTTCACATGGCTTCTGCTGGTTACCAGAAGATGAAAAGCTTGCCGCTTGCTGCTTTCACGCCGCTTGGAACCCGAAGTCGCTAGACCATAACTTATATGAGTGCCATCTGACCGGGTGGGGTGAAAAGATGGTTGTTTTTGATGCACTATACAATTGTGCCGTCTCCCCGCAAAAAGCAGCATATCCAGAAGATTCAGTGGGCAGAAACAGGTCCTGCTCTGGCCCAACGAGAAAGATTGCGATTTAAAAAGACCTCAGCACAATGGCAGTGACGTCCAACCGCACCAACGCGTACGCCGTTTCTCACCAATGAGGCAGGCGCAGTCCAATCCCCCGTTCTTCTTTACGGGTCAAGAGTGGGAGCGTTCACCTTAACCCTTTTCTACTTTGCGGTTGATAGATGCGAGGGCACTCTTTTCGAGCGTGATCATTGCAAGAATAACTAACTATATCCAATGCACTCACTTTAACGGTGGTCCACTCGCCCTTGGAGGTGGCGAGGAACGCCTGCCAGACGTTGTGGTCTCGAGCATAGGGCACGACCCAGTTGTCTGTTCGGAGCTGCAGGCAACACAGAAGCGCCGTTCGCATTCCAGATCCATGACACATATCCAAGCGCCGTTTAAGATTCAAATCTTCCGCAAAGTCAGAGTGCCGTCCATGTTCCAGATGCATATGACGAATCAAAACGCCGTACGTGACCCAGACTGAGGATTCATGTCAAAGCGCCGTTCATGCGTAGACGCTCGCTTCACAGAGGGCGTAAACAGATGAGCGCCATACGGCAACGGGAGAAAGTGTGCCCTTAGGCCACCGCGTTGCCTCCTAGACAAAGGTTTCAGCAAGATCAAATCCTAAAATTGCAGAATAGAAAGCGCAGCGACCAAAAAGGGGGTAAGCGCAGCGACAAAAAAGGGGGTACTGGATCTGATGACGCCCTCTATGAAGTGGTAGAATCTCCTTAAAAACCCTGAGAGTAAACTTACGTTCGAGATGTAGGAGCGCCCATCTCCCCGCAACCGGAATGCGAGCGTGTCAAACGCTTCCAGATCGAGCGGGGGCATGTCCTGCGCGGTGCGGATGCCGCTGAAGCCGCTTCGCTTCATCCGGTGTGAATTGGCCTCCGAGACCTCGGTCGACAGCTCGCCTTCAAACACTGGAAAGCAAAAGAAATCTGTTCTGTAAAAACAGCTAGTCTTTATAGGGCGGTGGGCTGGCTCATGTCTTTTCTCAATGGAGTCGCTAATGGTGAGCTGGACAGATTCTTCAAAACGCAGTTTGAATGGCTTGAACGACGGGCTTCTCGATGAAAGCACATGCGAAGATTCCGTACTTCAAGCGTTGCGCACTTCAAGGCATCTAGGAATGGAGATCGCCATTTTCGTGTCAAGTAGACCACGTTTAAAGGCTACGAACGCTGATGGCCCACCTGCGCTTGTTCCATCTTTGTCCAGGCCCCAAGAAGACGTCGACAGCCCTGCAGGAAGATACATTCTTGAGCAGCAGCCTGAGAATCACACGACCTCGACTGGCACGCAAATAAAGTAAAGATTCTGCACTTTATTGATCATCTGAAGCTACTTTGGATGGCTCTGTTCATTTGAAGCAATACAAGCAAAGGTGACACTGCGCGTCCACATTCAAAGGGAGCAAGAAGGAGCAAGGTCAGTCACTGCAACTAGACGAGAAAGCTTCGCAGGAGAGGAGGGCTGTAAGCTTCCTGCGAGAAGGTGGTCCAGCCATGGGCTAGTAGATTCCTTTGCCAGAAACCATTTTGAGAGACACTCGCAGAAGTAGGGATTCACAATGTTCAGAAAACCTTCATAGGCGCTGAGAGACAAACTCACCCCCCAGCTCCTGGTCGTTGTATGTCGTCCACCTGTCAATGTCAGCCTGCGTCTTGAATTGGAACAGCGTCGCCTCCGCAGGGACGTCCAAGTTCCATGCTAGAGCTACAAAAGATGAAACCCCAGTGAGCATCCCAAACGTCGGGTGTCGCTATTGCAGTCCGCAATTATAGATGGGGTGATTGCTCAGGACCAATCAGCGCCCTCCATTTCGAACCTGAAACACGGGTGAATCAGAGCTCCCCGGTTTCCCTTCCACATTCCCTCTTCCAATCATTTTCACTGTCGCATAAATGGGGATGCTAAATGCAGCTCATGGATAATACGAGCTAGAAGTGATGTCTTCATCAAGCTGCACTGCAAGATCTGTATCAAATCGCTCTCGCTCAAGCCATTGCTCTTCCACGTTCTCATCTTGAAAACAACAACACACTTGAGCTTTAGATGAGTACTCTATCAATGAGGATAAAAGAATCAGTCCTCAAGGTACCTAGGCTTCCCAAAGTTGGTTTGTGGACTGACCTGTGCGCACGTTCTGGACCGACCGAGCAACCAGTCGCCTGAGCATAGCTCCCGCGCAATTCCGCTGACCCAATGGCTAGGAGTCTGTGAACCTTGTGTGCCGGTCCTGTTCCCTGTCTACTTCACTGTCTTCGCTTCTGCTTCCTTTAGAAGCCCGGACATCTCTGCGCAGTGCTTGGGCTTGTTTTGATGCTCCTGGCAGCAGGCGAGCAGTTTTTGGATGGTATCGATGCACCTGAAACATGAGTCATTAAAACCGGTTATGAGCTAAGGCAACAAAAGATGGATCCACTTTTGGGGTTGCGGAGCCCGGGCATGCTTGCTTCGAGAAAACCTGAAATCAATGGCACTCCGAAATATTGTTTTGCAATGCCCCTCAGGAAGACCATTGATTACAATATAGTTTCGAGACTGGCCACCCGTCAGGCCACCGCAACTCCGACATTCCTGCCTTCTTGTGTATGGATGTGAAACGATTTTGAAGGCGGACCAACATGACTTCTAAAAGACTGCCAAGCATGTATGATCCCTGCGGCAACTCTGGCTAAACAAGCATCTCAGGGTCACATTTAAGCTTAGCACCGCGCAAGTTCAGATCCTCTTATAACAGAGCGAACAAGAAGGAGCAGGAGGACATATTAAAACCTCCAAACATCAAAGACCGAACACCTGTCTGCAATTCATGTAACTCAAAGCAATGCTGCGACACTTCTCTGCCTAATCAACTTACTCAAACTTCAAACAGTCTACCACCATCATTGGTATGATTTGACAGGGTGCCAGCCGAGACGCAGAAGAACGAAACAGCCCCTTGCACGCGAGCTCACTTGTGCGAGTCAAAGTTGTTCTTGCTCAGGCACTTCTGGATGGCGCAGGCCTGTGCATGGCATGGCTGCCCTGTCAGTTCAGGGTCTTCCTCCCGTTTCCACGGCCACCACATTCCGGCCAACTCCTTCGAGACTCTGGTGTTTTCAGCGGACCTTTGTGTCTCTCATGTGAGCATCATTTCCATGAGCGGCAAGCGCGCCCCTGCACTTGTGTCTTTTTATGCAAGCGCCAATTCAAATCGAAACATCATGGTGAAGATGACCGACATTCTTGGCCAGCAGAAGAGATTGACAATGATAGCATCCAAGGTTGGGTTAATCAAAACTTCGGGTGAGTTTTGAAATGCTAACCTGGATTAACCAAGCGTCTGTCTTCCGACACCGTCGACGACAGGTTCCATGAACCGGTACGACCAGGGTTCGACTGCACGTAGACTGAACAGCTCCTTCTGTCCCTGCCGTCGGCAACCGCGTCTGCCGCTTCTCCAGCTCGTGTGAAGCCATATTGTCTCGTTAATACATAACATCTGTTAGTGCTGACCGAGAATGCGTCACAGGGTGGAGCAATGGCACGTCACGATTTCCCATTTTCGGACGTCATGCATGTGAGAATGTTGACATCATGCAATCCAGACTCCATGGAGCAACTGAGGCGGAACCTGGGCGGAACACTGTTGACACCAGACAAACCATTGTACAGTTTCCTAAGGCGACACACAGACGCTTTCAGCTAGAAAAGCACTTGTGAAAAGGTTTTGTGAATGCTCCTCTAAAGGGGCCCTGCCAAGGACCAATGCTGTGGGTGTAGACGTGTCTGCGGGGGTCAGTCTGCCGTGCATCGTCTGGTGAATGCAGCAGAATGCAGCAGATCGGCCCTTAGGTTGAGGCCGGTCTGATTGTCGTTGACAGCAATCTCCTGAAGCGAGTAGGCCTCCTGCTGCTTATGGCACACCCTCAACGCGTGATCATTGATTGAGATAGCTTATTGTAGCTCTGTGTGCAGTCCCAAGTCTGCCTTGTTAACCAGAAGTCACTCATCTGCATCAAGTTTGTATCAAGAGAGTACCTAGTATCGTAGCCTTTCCGGAGCAACATCCTAACATCAATGAAAATTTTGGTCTAGATTGCTCGTTGGATTTCTGGGAGAACATAGTCAACTCCAGATAAAACTGAAAAGAGGGGATTGGTAATTGGAATAGGCTGTATGGTCTACAAGTTCTGAGCTCTTCTGCTTGAACATGGCAAACGTGAAAGTGGTGACGGGAGCCCCAGCTCCAGACGGGAGGGGCACTTGCACTCTGTCTGAAAGCATCGACATACCTGAGGAGTTTCTGTGGAAAGCCTTGGTTAACAAGGTGAGCGGCTCAGTGCCGTGTCCTGTGCAAAGCGCGGCGGTGGTATGAAGTCCGAAGTTTGATTTATGTTAAGCCCTCGAAGTTGGGCCTGGTTTTCGAAACTTTCTAAAGGCCAAGGAATGCTTGTCTATCTAACACTTCAGGGCTCTCCAATCGCAAGCTGCACGATCCTGTCAAAGTGCAATGGGGCTGTTGCAGGATAGAAAGTTGCTCTTCTTATTGCACTGGGGTCACGAGGCTTGACAAAGTAGATGTTGTGAAAAGTCAACTGTTTTGGACATGCTGAGTATGATTGGTATGAATTGTAATGAGACCCACAACAAAGGCAGAATATCTTGCATAGATTCATTCAAAGGTCTAGTCTCCACTGATTCTCTCAGGTACGTCTTCCTCCACTTTTGTCAAGCCTTTCTCTGCCACCCTTCGGTATTGGAAGTACACAGAAGATGCCCAGATTTGTTACACAGCACGGTGCCCTGTATTTAGAAAGTACTGGATTTAGGACCCAACTCAGCAGGTCACAAGGATAGAGAAACGCCTAAAAAAGGTACTGTGGTAGTTGTCAATCCCAAAAAGGTTAGAGAATAGTAGCTTGAACTCCTAGAATGCTGTTACCTGAGTCTTTGCCTCTGGCTGCAAGTTACTCTGAACCTTGAAAGGCCAGCGGAGTGCGCAATCAACAGGTTTGTGTTGCATGTGTAACTATTGGGCGCATAATGTCAGGCTGCCTAAATCAAATTGCAAGAGGCTGTTGTACGGCTAACTTTGCTAAATGGGGCGTCTCGCACCTGCACCCCTCAAGCCCTGAATTCTGAGTGTGTGCACCGCAGTCTCCTGGCTTCGGTAAATACGTCCATGTGGGGCCTCCTAAGGGCTGGGTCTCAGAAAGCAACGTCTGAGTTCGAGGCCCTGGAAACTCTTCGGACATCCTCAAAAGCTCTGAATAACAAGATACCGCGTTGCAGGTGTACCATTCTTATGACTGTTTCCGTCTTAGTTCAAGCGTGAGGAGCTTCCCAATATCTTCGTCCAAAACAAATTCGGGGGCCCCTCCTTGGAACTCCAAAAAGCCCTAGATTCCGGTATTCTATGTCGCAGGTATACCACTTTGATGAGTACTTCCGTAATGCTGAATCCAAGCGCAAAGAGCTTTCCAACGGCTGGGTCCAAAAGCATCTGGCGGGCCCCTCTTGGAACACCAAAAGCCTGAAAACGTCGATATTACACATGCAGGTATACCACTTTTATGAGTACTTCATATATCTGAGTTCGAGGGCGAGGAGCTTCCCGACGGCTGGGTCCGGAAGAATGTAGCGGGCCCCTCTGATAACTCCAAAAAGGCCAAAACACCAGTATTATTATTTTTTCAGGTTTACCACTTTTACGAGTATTTTCGTATCTCTGAGTTCAAGCGCGAGGAGCTCTCTGACGGCTGGGTCCGGAAGAATGTGGCGGGCCCCTCTCATAGTTCCAAAAAGGCCAAAACTCCAGTATTATGACTTTTCAGGTTTACCACTTTTACGAGTATTTTCGTATCTCTGAGTTCAAGCGGGAGGAGCTTCCCGACGGCTGGGTGTATCGCAAGATGGTCGTGCATGATGACGAGCGGCTGCCGGGGTGGGGCCCCCACAAATTTGTCGAGCGCATCAAAGCGGACAAAGAGACAGGTGAACGCCAACCGGAGGGCGAGAAAGTTTCAGCTTTTTAGGCCCGGTTCCTGAACGGGTCCGTGAACAAGTTCCTGAAACCTGTTGGAGAAAGCGAAGTTTCAAGGTCCAAAGAGGATGAAAAAACTTTCACTAGTCCAGAGTACTTGCTTCGATACATATCTGGCATCTTATATCTGGTGTTCTGTCCATCTCCCGTCCTTCAAGCGTTCTCTCCCTGAATCGGTTGCGCGGCTGTTACAACACAGAAATCGATTAGGTTCGTTGTATAGATTCCTACATACAGTAGCGTGATATCAATCATTAATGAGCGTGCTGGCTCAACAAACGCCGCAACGTATACCTTTCGAATATTCCATATCTGTTTGTATGGTCACCCTTCCGGCCTAAGTTGTAGAATCTGTCCATTACCGATCTGCCCACAAGTTTTCACATTTTGCAAGCGATTTGGCGGACATGATTGAGATCGTTCACAGTAGCATCGCTGTTGTCTTTGTCAACCAGCGTGCCTCCTGTTGAAAACCCTCGATGAATGGTGCTCTTTCCTACGTGCCGTCAACCGTGTCAACTGTGAATGAAGTTCCTGGATCGTGAACGGTGTCTTCTTGCAGCGACAGCCACCTTGAATATCCAACGTCCTTCCACGCAGGCGTAGTTGAGTTTGTGGACCTGGACCACGAGACGGAGGAGCCGACCAGCAAGAAATTCCAGCCGTGCCACAAACAAATTACAGTGCTTTGCCAATCTGAGAACTTACTATCTGAACTAAACGGAAATATAGTATGCAGGCGTGGTTGAGTTTGTGGACCTGGACCACGAGACGGAGGAGCCGACGGGCAGGAAGCGGCTCAACATCATGCACCGCGGTCCCCTACGCGTCGAGTACTCTTCGCTGAGCGCCGAGGGAGTCAAGACCCCGCTCAGCAACGGCAAGCCGATCAGCCAGCAGATCGAGGAGGCGTACGAGGCGTGGCAGAAGAGCCTCAAGGTGACGTCAGCGACTCTCTTTGGTGGTCTAAGGCTTTGTTTCTCGCGCTCTGGGATTCGCAGCAGATCGAGGAGGCGTACGAGGCATGGCAGAAGAGCCACAAGGTGACGTCAGCAGTCCGCCGAGATGACGTCATCGACTTCGTTTGGTGGATGAAGGGTTTATCTTCGGCCCTGGAACTCGCAGCAGATTGAGGAGGCGCTTGAGGAAGGGGCAGAAAAGCCTTAAGTTGGCGTCAGCGACTCTTCTTGGTTAGCCAAAGGTTCACCTTTTCCGACTCAGCGACTTCGAATGGACTTTTTCCGATTTCCAATGTGCTGCGGATCAAAGCGGCGTACGTGGCGTGGCAGACCTCAAGGTGACATGAGCAACTTCTACTGGTTGTTGAAGGGTGTGACTATCTGTGGTATCCATCCAGCGGTTTCAATCATGCTCGACGTCTGATACCCCGCGACTTCTTCCCGCCGGTTAGAGCTTTTTCGACTTGCGTTCTTTGGTGTCACCACTAATAATTCTTCGCAGGGTTCCACTTTGGATAGAGCCGCGCCTGGAGCGGCTCATCTTTGTTGCTGGAAGGATCTTTCGACGTCGAAATTGCTTGCCAACTTTTCACCACAGCTTTAAGACGCCACCGGAGCATGTCAGAACGAAAGGAGGGAGAATATGGACTCTTGTCTATTTAACCATGACCCCCTCGCCTATATCCCCACCAGATTGACGGTCCAGTGTTCTGTTGTCGACGTGGATCGACGGTTCCCCTTGGTTTATTATTTAGAGGGCCTACGAGGTTGGCCGGGAGTTCAAGTTCTTCTTTCTTCCGTTCATTCCGTCCGTTTCCTAGGTGTGCTCTAGATCTGACGCTTGAGAGTGATTCTCACTTTCCGTTCTTGGCATCAGCTCTTTTCTTGGTTAAGAGCTGATTGCATTGCCTCCGTATCTCTCGGGAATTGAATTGTTGTGACCTTGGTTATCCATTGGGCTGTGAGAATCTGAATCGATCTTAATTGTGTCTGCCAGAAAAACGGCCAGTCCACTCCGGAACAGGGGGGTGCCCAAGACTCGACCGCAGCCACAGACGAACCCCCCCAAAAGCGGCCACGAGTGGACGCGCCCGTTGCGGTTGAAAAGCCCGTAGAAGACAAAGCAAGCGTAAGGAATTCCGTCTCCATGAAACTTCGCTTCGCATTTTCTGGTTTTTTCTCGGAGCAACATCTCGTTGATTAACCTCGCTCGTATGGAGCAAAGTCATGTCTCCTGGCTAGTGGGCAGTTTACCAGATGCGAACCGAACGGCTGCTCAGCCTTGTTGCGCAGATTGTTTTGCGGGTCAGAGCAGCCAGCGGAACGAAAACACGCGGTTATTGGAGAAACTAGACCTTTTGCTTTTCAGCACCAATCGCACATAGTTGCCTGTTTCGTTCCGATCATTTGTAGGAAGCCTGGTCCGTGCCCCCTTCTCACCCTCCGACAATTTTTCTTTGTTTGGGTGACATGTTCTAATAAGCAATAACAACCAATCACAGTATTGCTTCTGTAATTGTTTGTTCCGCAGCCCCTCGATTGAGCCGTCAGGTCAGCAGCCATGAGTGCCCAAACAAGTTCACTCTGCGTTCATTCCCTTTCTCTTCTATCTGGCGCCTCCGACTAAATACTTATCCTGTTCAGCTATTTGTTCGCCCGATCCGAAGAGATTCGCCGCTTCCCTCATCAAATCGACTGACGGAAAGTCTGTCTCTCGTCTAAGCAGGAGGACGAGCCTCCCTCTAAATCAGGCGACCAGAAAGCGTAGAATGGCACATCCGGACTGGTGGTCTCCTCCAATTGTCGCCGGTCCTCACCTCCCGTACTTATTGCTGTTGGCCCGCGTTTGTAAAGTTTGATGCCGTAAGGAAGTTTAGGAAAGGAGTTCTGAGCTAGCTTTACTTTTGAGTGGAGCAGAGATCTTGTGGGGTTTTCATAAGCTTACAAAGCTCGCTTCAGTCTAGACGGGCCTGGCTACAGCGGGACGGTGAGATTAGCAAGCGGAGCGCCCGAGGGAAAAGGAAGCGCGCCCTACACGCAGCCAAGCTGTATTACGAACGGTTTTTTTTGTAAGCACTTACCACCGGCAGTCTAGCGCCAATATCAAGTTCAAGAGCATCAAGTTGAATATACGGTGTCACCAGAAGATGATTTGCCTACATCAGCTAGAGCCTGCACTAGCAAGCGGCCGCAATACTCCAGAGCAGTAAAAAGCACGCACGATCAAAGCTGCCAGGACCCTACCGTCGAGCAGGACGCTTTTATTGTACCGTGTAGTTGATGAGCCGGGTTCGAATGATCAAAAGATAGGTATATTGCTCGTCTTCAAGGTCAGAGATCCTCCAGGCTCCTGGTCGCATATACACAGCTGCTAAGCATGACTTCAGGTTTTCAAAAGCTTGTTTGATTGTCATGACAAACCGCACCTGGTGTCAACTCGCATTAGCTTAAGCCTATCGGTAGCCAGGTTGGGGGCCAGAATTATTGTTGCGCAGTAATTGGTGATATGGTTTTTAGGGGGTCCATTTGATCATCATATGGGACCTGCTGTATTCATTCACGCTACGGCTAATTGGACGCTACCCATGCTGAACCGGACTCTTTGACCAAGTCTGAAGCATTGAAATTCGGGGACAACATAATTTATGTTAAGAGTGTTCCAAAATGCTGCATATATGCAATGCCAATCAGTGCGCTCACTTTTGTCTACCAAACGGTGATCACCGTCATATTGATCGAGACACGTGCATGACCCGCTGCATGCCCTCTTATGCGAAACAGTTAACCTTCTCCGGAAAGCGGAGGCCAACCTCGAATCGGAAGGTCATGCTATTCCACCGACCTCCTTCCCCCCAATTCAATGATGCCAATGCCAAAAGCGCAGAGCTAGAGCTCTACGGTACTACCAAGTAGCTGACGTTTCGCGAATTGATTTCTGGTGTGCCGCCTGCGTAATTCTGTACTGCAAGATCCTTGGAACTTTCCCCAGCATCGGCGCCACTCGTTCAAGATGCTATGGCATCGACGGTTAGGAATAGTTATCCAGAGCTCAAAAGGTGTCGTCTGATGTTTCAAAAGTTAGGAACTTGACCGTCGTCTTTCGAAACTCTCTGACTGAGCCTGCCATCTTGGAAACTCGCCGCCCTAGTTCTCTTTCTGCTAAGTAGTGGTTCCTGAACGTCGCGCATCTAATTCTTTGGTATATTCTTACACTCAAGTATCATATGATGTTTCGACATCAGAAAGAGTGAAAGGATATAGCGCTAGAATATGTGTGTCAAAATAAAAAAGGTCAAGCAACCAATTCGACCATGCACAGCAGTGGCAAGCAGTGGCTAGCTGCGCAAAACTGCCAGGCCCTTGCATTCTACTCAAACACAACGAACAGGCTTCTGACACTGCAGTTGATCATCATGAACCTTTTTATGCTGCTTTGATGCAACGCTAGATCCGAGGGTACTAAGAGCCGAACGTCGCAGGAGTTGGTTTGACGGAGTTTGACGAACAGATGTGAATTGTGCTGCATGAGGCCGCCCTCTTGACGACATCATCATAATCAAGTCTACAATCCAAAACAAAAGAACATCGAAGCATCAGCAGTCCGTTGGACAAGACCGTATTGTAATCAGAAAACGTAGGATCATACAGACAGAGCAATGGTCTAAGCTAGGCACTATAGCGCCGGCCTCGTGCTGGCCGCCACGAAGCGAGCCTGCTGTTTGAACCTCTCTTAATGTGTTTAGAAAGCCTTGATTGCAACCCTCTGGAGCTGCAGGAGCTGTCGTTCTTCGATGCGCCCGTGCGTTCATGACAAGTTACACGAAGCTGCTCGCAGGTTGATTCTGTTCTGTACGTCGAACAGGCACCAAGCCAGCATATGCTCGAGGGGTCCTTACAAGGCATGCAAGTAAAAGAAGCGTTGCCTAAGGTCTTGCATGACAGGGCTATGAGAACGGGTGAATTGCCACAGTTGAAAGCTTTGAACCTTGGACACGTCCAGAATCGTTGCTTAGCAGAGCTGTGAAAAGCTCCGAATCAAAAGTGCTTTGCGAGGCAATCAAAGATAAGAGAGAGGCACAGATAGAGGCAACAAGACTCCTGCAAGAGGAAAGCATGAAGTCATATTGAGGATAGGAGGACACTGGCTGTGGCTAACAAAGCGAGCTGCTCCATATCTCAAAGGATAATCTGGCAGGCAGGCCACCGCTTAGAATCCATTGATCCAAGGTGAGCGACCATCAAAGAGAGACCCCTTTTTGAGACTTGTCGCAGCATCTGAGGTCCACTAACTTTATCATTAGAATGCGGCTTTTTCTCGTTCTATCTGCCGATCGAAAACGCTGAGGGTTAGTCTGCGCTTTTAAAAGACTGAGTCGCATAGAAAGCAACGCTGCAAAACCGAACTTTGGACAAAAGAAGGCAATTGTGTCGGTATAGAAACCTAGAAGGATCGAGGCTGGCGCAGCTGATTCCCTTGATTACAGCCGTGCATATATTCAGGTGCATTGAATGAGAGATCGAAGAGCTGTACATAAGAGCTGTACATTTGAGCGATTGCCAGGATGAACGCACAAGCTCCTCAAGGAGCCAAAGTAGCCCGTTTGCAAACCTCAAACTTGGTGGGAGTATTCAGGATTCAGACAGTCCGAGAAATCATCAAAAAACTTCAGTCGAAGAGCAATGTCCGTTGAACGGTTTCATTATATAACCCCACTCACGATTCGTAAGAGTCTAGCAGTGCATATTCAAAAGTTAACGTACTTTTTCTACCAACTCCTTCTCTCTTCGGAGTTAGCAAAGTGTGCTGAAACTTTGGTATGAGTCGGTTGCTGCCTTTTGGCCCCACTGTGGGGCCGTAGCAGACGCCATGGATCCTGCAAAGGCTTTGATAGCAGCTCTTTCATCCCAATCAAGTATGACGTCAGCAACAGTGTCATCCGCAGGTGACCGGCTTTCATCCTCTGCATTTGCATCACCTTGGCCCCTCGTGAAACGGAAGCAGTAAACGATGCCACGCGTCTTCACCGTATTGGTCCTGCTTTGGGCGCTTCCGCACGCGAGCGTGGAGGGGCGGCCGCTGAGGAAAGAGGAGCCGTCGCCGCCGAGTATTCACACTGTCTTCAGCGCTGAGTGCAACGACTATTTTGACTGGCAGGTGAAGAGGCACTCTGAAAGGGTTCCCGAAGCTTCTGAAGCGCTCTGATGCGTGCGGTGTGCATCGACGTGCTTGCTAGAACGTAGCGATTTGGACGTGGTCTTGGCTTTTCACGAAGGCGTCAGGAGCAATTTCAGAACGATAGATGCCTCGTATCAAAGATTAGCGCAGAAAGAGCATTTATTGCTTTGCTAAGCAAGTGGGGGACGCTGCGCTCAGAAATGGATGCGCGTTCAGAACGCCTTCCGTGCGGCTTCTCTTTCCGGTTTCTCTGTTTTTCGCTCTCCAAACGATGTGGGACAAGGAGCCAGCATGGCTTGCGTAAACGAGATTGTGCTAGCCATATACAACGAAAGACTTTTCACGGTTGAACCCCTCGACTTTTGGACACAGAACCTTGCAACAGGAATATGGAAAGGGAGTCATAGTGCGCTCGCAAGGCTTGCGAAGAGTACGTCGCGGCCGCGCGCTCGTTTGCCCCGTTGGCGCCACAGATTCGGCAATCAGAGCGCTACTTCCGAGGGCGCATACTGATCAAATTTCCGCACGGATCCTACTTTGCGGATGTATCTTTTTCAGTTCGAACGGGAACTTTCGTGTTGATCAGGTTTGGCTGGGCCAACGCTCAGAAATGTTAGAAGTATTTGCGCACTGCCACTCGGGCCACACTGGCGCCAGTGTGGCCCGAGTGGCAGTGCGCAAATACTTCTAACAAGAAAGACTGCAAATAGAACGTCATTCCCCGTCTGTGTCGGTACGGTTGGTGTCACCGGTGCCCAGGTCTGCCTTCTTCGCATGGAAACTTCGTCAACGCTGGGACGACCCATCGGATTTTGAGGGAGGTGCTGAAAATGAAAATCTGAGAAAAAATGTTTCCAGAGGGTAGGACATTAGAGCAGAAACAGCGTTACAAATCACGAAACGGGAGATCGTGCAGGTAAAATTAACGGCATCACTTCCGTTTCTTTCTTTTCTGCAGACCGTGGCTCTGAAGCACAGTTTCCGCGCGAGAGGGCAGCCCGCGACGCTCACCCGGCTGCTTCGATGAGCGGAAACGAAACGAAAAGAGTGAGAAGGCTTCACGAGAGGCGTCAAAGATATTCCAAAAGAGAGAATGGATTTGCTCCTTCCCTGCAGACCGTGGCTCTGGAACACAGTTTCCGCACGAGCGGCCAGCCCGGTCCGCTCACCCGGCTGCTCAGCTGCAACCCGAAAGACCTCGGTACGTACCGGGGCATGGACCTGGCGCCGACGTTCGTGGTGCCGTCGTGGAGCAGGCACCCGAAAACGGGGGACTGGTAAGATAGACGTTCGTTCAGTCTGTGCTGAGGTTTCGCTGCCGAGATGACGGGCAAGTATCCTGCTTCTCCTGCGGAACGGCGACAGAATACGCTCTGCGACCGTGCTGATGGTCGCCTGCAGATTTCCAGATGCAGCCCGCCAGCTTGTGATACAGTTCGAAGGGTTTTGGTGAAGTGCAGTTTTATTCCGTTCCCTTTTGTTCGAGAGTAGTTCGGACAAGAGGAGAGAATTCGATTTGTGTTTCTCGTGGTGGCCGTTTCGAGTGACTTCGGTCATTTTATTGGCAGAGGACGCAGCAAAGAATGACTGATAGCGACTTCCGCATTCGACCCGTTCATCATCGAAGGCCGTCCCTGAAGCCCACTTGCGCTGAAAAAGCTATATAATCAGCTTTCGTCGACTCCTTTGCGGTTTGAAATTGAGACCCTGAAGTAGATCACCGCACGTCTTTCCTTCATCCAGGTACCCGGCCATCAACAAGCCGCTCTCCATCCTGCACTGGCTGACGCACGCTGACGTTACAGCCGATTATGTCGTCATCCTGGACGCGGACATGATTCTGCGGACGCCCGTCCTGCCCTGGGAGCTCGGCGCCGCTCCTGGGACCCCGGTCTCCGCCAGGTACGTACCTCAGGAGACCGACGGTGATCTCTGACAAGCACCCTTTTATGCTTTGTATTCTCGAAAGGACTTGACTATCGTCTGGCCGCCAGACGTGTCAGAAAAGGCTCTAAAACAGCGCAGGGTTGAGCGTTCGCAAAGCTGGTTCGACCGGCCGGCTTGTCTTTGTTTTTGCTGCAGGATAAACACGGATTTCTCGTGGCGTGCCACGTTCTGTTGAAACCATTTTCTTCGCGCTCTATTCGGCCATTGCAGTACTGGCGCGCGGCTTCTGTGTTCGAAATATGGTCAGCTTCTGCATTGGAATGTCGTCAGCTTCTCTGTTCAAAATGTCGTCAGCTTCTCTCTTCGAAATGTCGCCCACAAGAGAACGCGTCTGCTTTCCACGCTAAGAACCTCATGCAGCCGCCTTGAGGACTCATTTATACAGCCCGCTTTCCCATGTTTGACATAATGCCCGAAAGACCACTGTTCCTGAGAGTATCGTGTCGAGACGTAACCGGCAGTTCCCCCAAGTATCCCTTGTATTCAAACCTGATGGCTTCCGTTGCTTGTTCGTCATACTCAAAGACGTCACAATTGAGTGCTCAAAGGCGGGCAGTGATATGAGTCGGGCTGATAAGTCACGGATCTACTCGTATGATAAAGTCGGTCTCACTTTCAAGGCGTCTTTTTGTGTAAGTCTGGGCCAATTGGAATCACGGCCACTGTTGGTGAACTCTCTGGCTGCACGGTGTCTCTTTGCGGTAGGCTGTAAGTGTAGTTAAGACTTCAAGATCTTTTTCTATGAATCATATGCTAATGAAGCACGACTTCTTTTCATATTACATAGTAAAAGTTGGGCTGATTATTTCGAATCCTCTTTCTCTAGGTACGGCTACTTGGAGGGCTGTGCGAATGAGCTGGTGCGGCTGCACGCGAGTGACCCGGAGCGATGCGACCGGGTCGGGGGCTTTATGGTGCACTATACGCAGGTGGGTCCTCGATGCCTAGCCATGTCCCGGGCCTCTCAAACGCAGGGGCAACATGTTGTTTTCGATGGGGTGTTCGATAGCCACCCCAAAGGCGGGGAGTATGGTATAGCGTCCACTTTTCGTAGATTTTGCACCTAACAAATTACTGATTGGCCGTGCAACATCTTTGGTGCGAGTTTAAGGTGCCCGAGCATGTTCGGCGTCAACCAGACATGAGATGTCTCCCGAATAAGACTTCGTAGAGTATGTGGACTGCATGCTTTATCGGATCCATTTAGTAGGATGTTGGGGAGTTTTGCTAAAAGAGCACCTGAACCACGTTCCGCGCTTTACCAACTTCGTAGCTGGGCGAAAGGTGCTGCCAATGTGATGCAGCGACAAGCATCACTTCGTAACATCTTCGAAAGCAATCTGTCAATTCTCAAAAGCCTCGGTACTAGTGAACCCCGAGTTACTTGTCCCACGGAGGATGCAAAGCATTTATGTGGGAGTCTTTGCTCTCTCGCCTTAAAATTCTGCTGACTCGAGGAGTGACATTTTCTATATGAGGATAGTCCAGCCGAGTGGTAATCTGACCTGCTTCGTCCAGTTTACCTCAAAACAACCATTTTCGTCCACTTATGGAGCGTCTGAGGAAAAGCTGTAAGCATTTATCAGGCCAAGGACCGATCACCAAGACGGCCTTTTAGGCGGGCCAGAAAAGTGGCGTCTAATATGGGAGGCCTTCGTTTGTTAGTCAGGTGCGCTGTCACCAATCGGATGGATCTTCATCCCGAATACCTTTGCTACAAAGAGCTTCTTCCCTCGTAGTGGCCTGGCTGCAAGACAACCTGGAAAAAAGGACTTGCGACTCTTTGATTCTCTTCTGGAAGTGTGACCGACTCGGTTTTGTCTGCCAGAATTCTTCTTTATGTCACGAACTTGATGGTAGTAGAACGAGTATTGACCTCCATTCAGTCTTTAGCCTCAGTGAGCCGCGACCGACTGTTTTATGCGGTCTGAAACGCAAGGGCCGAGATTATACTATATAAAACTTCTGAAGTTTGAAGATCTTCCAGCAAGTAATTTCTTGCTTCTGAAGGACATTTCCTATACCTCTAAGATCTCATCGTTGGAGATGAAAAAGAACAACTTTCTGCTCACCCTGAAAACAAAGTTGTGCGGAGGTTTTGACAAGGAAGCGTCATATCTGGTCGAAGGGCCAGAGATGGAATGAATGACTGCTGAGCCACGAATCAGACCCCTTTTCTGAGCAGCATAGGATGATAGGATACGCTGAGCCCTCAAAAGTCTCACGATGCCAGGTCTGAAACTCCTTAGGGTCAATTCCAACTTGCAAACCGCCCACTAGTCTCGTGTTTTGCGCCTTTCGGGCCCGCATTCTTTTGTATGTTTGGGTAATGGCACGCGGCTTGGATAAAGGGTACTGGCTCTCAAATCAACGAACAATCCGCTCGAGCTTACGAACGCAGGGGTCAGTCACGTTCTACTCAAAGGTGGACTTGTGCTTGTGTATCTGCCTGGAAAGATTCACGGCCAATCATTTCTGAGATTTTGCCCCAGATGCTACATCATGGTCAGCAGAAATTTTTTTGTCGCGTCAGTCTGCTCGAACGGGTTTCCCAGGGCCAGGTAGTGCATTTTGCAGTTGCAAAAGAACGGCAGCTGTTGCATAGCTCTTATCTTACAACGTAATCCCGTCTCTTCTGTAAGTGCGCAATTTCATGCCAAGGCGGTCTTGCCTCCTCAGTCTCAACCACATTGTTTTTTTAAATCCGACTCGATAGTAGAGCAAAAACAAATTGGATAAAGGGACGGTTCTCGGAATATTTGAGATCTAGACTTTGGAACCGAGGGATCTAAACAGGTGCTTCAATGCACTGTGCAGCAATCGTATCAGAGTAAATCTTTGTCAGTATATCCTCATTATCTGTTTGGATCAAAAGAGCAAGCATGCTTGTAGTCAGTCGCTCGAAGCTACGACTCATAGTATTTCTGCTCAATCACGTCTACTTGGGTCGCATCTAATTGCGCTGTGGCCTATAAGGAACGGGACGCAAGGGTTCCTTATTCGAACTTGGTCGCTTGAGTGCCACTTGCGCTGGTCATCTTTCGTACCGCTTTAGCAATCTGATGAGGAAAGCGCTTCTCCTTGATAAGTCGCTGCGAGGGCCTCTTTGGCTCGCCTGTTTCAGTTTGCTTCTGTTTCTAGGGGACGAGCTTTCCAGGGGATTCAATGAGTTTTAGGGGCACATCAAGGCCCGCCTGTTTTATTTTGCTTGTGTATTACGAACTACTGACTTTGATTCTCTGTAGCGTCTTGTTGCATGTCTCCAACCGTAATGAAGTGGACGAGCCGTCTGACTATAAAGCGCTGAGAGAATGACGCTTAGTTGCACAACCGGACTCATCGAAGTGGGCCTCCCCATGAGATTTTGTGAACGATTTGACCGTTGATTGCCGGTCATTCATCTTTTGCGACAAGAAGAATTGAAGGGGTACGGTCACTGTCTGCTTTAAGAGCAACTTGTCTTACCCGCAAAGCTTTCCCAGAAGTGCAGCATAATCGATCGCTAGGGCTAGAGCTAGGTGACTTCGACCTGGAACGGCGCTGGACTTGTTGCTCACTCTAAAGGTTCACGCATCCTAAACCTGAATCATGCAGGAAGAAGCTTGTCTTGAAGTACCGTTTAAAGCTCTCTTTGGGGCGATGACTTGACCGTCTGGTGCTGGTCTCTATGGGCCAGCATTCTTCTCGTCTAAGGATGCTTTGGATGCGGACGAGAACGTTGTTAGAAAAGTGGCAAGTCCAAGACATAGAGTCGCGTATGCGGCGTAGATTTGCAGTCCGAAATCCGTTGCCGCCCGAAATTATCGCCCTGAGTGACGTCATTGATCGAGCCAATTCTGGTCGAAGACGCCTGAAGGAATCAGGTCAAGCAGGTCCTGCTTACTGCAACATCGATTGTCCTTTCGGAGTGGTAGTCGGACAGATCCTGAACGGCTTGAAGAAGCGAGAATATGGCCAAAACGTTTTGGATCGGCCGCCCCCTCCACCGGCTTCAACCGACACTTCCATTCGCTTTTTTTTTATGCGTGTAAGAGATCAAAACCTGTGCATTCATTGGATAAAGTCACTGCGGATCCGTGTTAGCTGTGCCGGATCAAGTTCCTCTCTAGACACCTTTTCGCTAGTCCGCTTACCTTGCTTCGCTCGCTCACGTCAGGGACAAGCATTAGAACACCGTTGCTGCACGCTCTCGATGGTAAGGAGATACATCTGTGGCATTGTCCGTACTTGAAGAGGTTCGGAGGCAATGAATACGGTTTCGATTGGTCTGGACAGGCCAGGTCACCTCTCTCGTCACGGATGCCTTCTTTCACCTGAAGAGTGAAGGGCGTTTTCATGGAGCCCTCACTTAGATCCTGCAACAGCTCTCCAAACTCTGGTTCTTCCTAGGCGTAGTATCCAAGCGACCCCCCAAAATTTACCGCGTCCAGAAGCGGCCCACCAGTTCCTTGTCCAGCAAAAATGGTCCACTGCTTTCATGGATCTTTTCCGATCGAATTGCCTCAGCTGCTCTTTAGGGCATCTGCTGACGACTGCCCCGTGGGCTCTTCGCGATTTACCAGATTTGGCAAAATCAAAGGACAGAGTTATTAAAAGTACTCTGCTGTCATTCTTTGGAGAAATCTGTTCCAGAGTGAACCTGAAAGTTTGAGAACTGGAGTTCTGATGGTGAAGGGGTGACTAGAGACCATCGTCGTTTCTCCTGTTATCAGCTCTTCCGGTACCCAATTGTCAGTTCTCTTAGACGCTTACCTAAGGGCAAAGACGATGCTCGAGAAGATGGCTTCATGCTAAAGTGGCCAGTAAAATATATTTTCTAGCACAGATGTCCTCTTGGTTCGAAGACGCTACATTACGAGCACGAACGGATTGCAAACAGTCGCCTTCACGCTGATACGACCTCTATCTCCTTAAGTTCCCTGTCTAGTCTACATGATAAGATGCTTCTTCTCGGATATTTTGCGCTTGCGTTGAGAAAATATTTCACAAGGCCCTCTGTTGTCCGGGCCTGGTAGATAGAAGCCCTACTGACATTTGAAAGTATGCAAGGAGGAGCGCTGTATCGTGAACTTTCAGATTTTCTAAATTCGAAGTGGCCGGAGCTTTCCCGGAATGCTGAACACCTGTTTTGTTTGTACGGCAAGGACGATACTTTGAGTACTGGTACCGTAAGCAACCACAGGTCGTGAAGGTGGACATCGGATGCCGGTTTCCATATTTTTCCACCTTTTGGCCCTTCTGCAGCATTTGCGTACCCAACGAACAGAACCAACGTATTTAGCTGGCCAAGTCTTCCTGTCAGCATATCGTGTCCCTTGCAACGATCCTGAAGATGGGCAACGAATGAACGAAGTGGGACGGAAGCTGTAGCTTTGAGGCGAAGTACTGTTCACACCCGCTTTCGCCTCGGCCGACATGACACACCTTCTCTTCCTTCATGTCGGATCGTGTGGCAACGGCTGCGAATGACCATTTCTCGGCAGACTAGGAATATTTGCGCTTTTTATTCTTGCGCGCAGGACTTGCGCAAGCTGGCTGCTCAAAACGGAGGAGATGCGCGCGGACCGTTATCGTGCTTCCCTTCCTGCATCTTTTGTCTTTTATTTTAAGAAACGGCTGCAATGACGATAACAGTGGAGCGAGTACATTGCTATTTTCCAAAAATGGGTAGACGAACGTCTTTCTTTTTTGCGCGCAGGATTTGCGCAAGCTGGCCCCGCTGTGGCTGTCCAAGACGGAGGAAATGCGCGCGGACCGCGCGCACTGGCACTTGATGGGCGACATCTACGGACAGGGCTGGATCTCCGAAATGTACGGCTACGCTTTCGGGGCGTCCGAGGTGCGTCTTCTCATGTACTTTTGCTGATTTTTTGAATCATAGAGACATTTGGATTGACAATTCTCATCAGATTCAGCAGTGGAGGCATGTGCGATTTGACTAGTGTCCAGATGATGATGTGAAGCGCCAACGGTCCCTCGAAGCTTTCTAACTGAGGGCAAGGAGTGTTTCGAGCAGTCTGTGCTACTGAATCTGCAGACTTTTCATTTACGAAAAATTCTTCGGAACGGCTTCGAAGGGCGGCAATGTTTTGAACGGTAAGGGAAAAGAGCTTCGTAACGTTGACTTCCTCTTGAAACTTCGAAGGTGCGGCTCTCTTTTCTGCATCCACGTTCCATTGCGTCCGCCGTTGTATTCGTCTTTTGCACTCAATGAAAGAATTCTCGAAAGCTTGATCGGGCAAACTTTTAACCATTCGTTGTGTTGGAGAAATGAGCTCTCCACTTCCGCTTTCAAGAAATCGAGCCCCTTCTCACATCAATTGCTACAGCTCTCCTTTTATTCTTCACGGAGTGCCGTTGGCATTTCGGCTGCGTGCTTCAGAAAAGTCCCGTCATTACTCTTCACTTTAACCTTCTTGAGGACTCGGTTGTTCTGTAGAAACTCTCAGACCTTGAAAAACTAAGAAAATTGCTGTCTTCGGATTCGCAACTGGAGTCATCGAGTGGTAGCCTTGTCTTTGCAGGCGGGGCTGGTTCATAAGATCGACGACTTTACCATGCTCTACCCCGGGTACGTACCGGCCGAGGGTACCGGGCCCAAGATCCTGCACTACGGCCTGCCATACGGCGTCGGGAGCTGGTGAGACCAACCTTCCAATCGCAAACTTTCCACACAAGGAAGGGATTAGCCTCGCTCGGCAGGGCTCAAATGTACCGCAAGTCGGTTCGAGGCCGGGGGATATAGGCCAAAAGGGCGCTTCATGCTTTTGTGACGTGTGAACGTGTGCATGAGAACGAGGCTTATTGTATGACTCAGTTCGCTAGCTTACGCGAAAAGACTGGGCGAGGCATCCATCGAAGTGTATTCAAACCCGTTGTTTGTAATCCGAACTCATCTTCATACAAGTGCCACCCCTTGGGTTAAAGTGTCCGTCAAGATCCCTGTTGAGACTGTTCTGTAAGTTGTACCTCCTGTGCTATATCTCAAGGAAAGAGCAATCAAACATATCGCGGCAAGAGGTTTTTAGATTGATATGCTGTCTCGAAACCTCCTGTGTGCATCCTGCAGGACCTGGGAGAAGGGTCACTATCGTCACACGGACCTCGTCAACACGTGCCGCGTCTTTCCGGAGCCGCCGAACCCTGCCGAGCTGCCTTCGACGGACCCTTCCAGAAGGCGCGGCGATCTGCTCGGCATCGAATGCATGGTCGGCATCAACCGGGCGCTTCTGGAGCACCACGCGAAGCGCGGCGGGTGTAAGGAGATTTTTGAAGACTTTGGGAACGGGACGGTCCACAGGAAAGAAGGGCACGTGGCAGCATCCGCAAAGGAGCAAGAACACGTGGCAGCTTTTAGAGCGACGCCCGAAATGCGAACAGCTGGAGCAGGGAGGGGAGCAGGCTCGGAGAGCGGAAGCGGACGATTCGTTGCTGCGCGGTCGGTAGAAAATGGTGAGAGCGGCGACCGCAAGGGGGAAGAGAACGCGGGGACGGTCGCCGGGAAGGCTGACGATTCGGCTGACGTGATCGAGCGGGACGCGGCCGCGAGAAGCAACGCGGCCGCGAGCCGCGCGCTAAATCCGAGGGTTTTGACCCAGCCGTTGGACGAAATGCCCAACGGGGTTCTGTGGGCGGCGCTCGTATACGTCATCCTGGTGGCTTTCTGGCTGGTGACGACGCGGCGCATGACGCAGTCGCGGCCGCGGCCGCGCGCCTCTCTCGAGGGGTTTAGGGGTCTAGAAGGCGCGGTCGGACGGGCGGAGACCGGGAAGGCAAAAGAGTAGGCGGGTAAAGGAGGAGCGGCTGTAGTAAGATCAAGCGTTTGGCATTCGTTGCCGTACAAGCTTGATGATAGAATTAGTTCGATAAGCTGGTACGACCTTAGAGACAGCGGAAGAGCTTATGACTGCACGAGCAATTAGAATCCTGGTTGGCTTAAAAAGCTTGTGAAAGGGAACTGCATCGTAGTTCCGCATTTCGCATGGCTTCCTTACTTGACGACCAAAAGTTTGGGACACATTACAAGCAGAACGTTTCTGTGGACACGGATGTACAAAGCTCGAAGGAACTCCCATTTCAACACGGATGTACATTGCTCGAGGCTTACAGCGCCTACCAACGAACACGCAATGGTTATCTCTATGGCCGTTGAAGGCTGTCTAGAGAAGTGAAGTGAAGTGAAATGTGGTCGTAATTATGATGAAAGAAGGCAATCTGCTTGACTTGGATGTGTCTACTACAGCGTTTGTAACATGCGACGCGCGGCTGCTCATGCGAAGTGCAAGATTAGAACCAGTAAATAGCACCAGATCAGCCTTGAGAAGCGTTGATACTTTGTTACGAGTACCGTAAGAACTTAGGCTGCTTTGAAATGGCCTTTGAAATGTTCAATGCTCATGATCAGCTGCATACTACCCGATTGTCCGGCGTACGAGATGTATTCCCGCGAACGACAGTGACAACTTGCATAGAGCATAGTGCATAGAGTTGCAAGAGCCTAGCAGTTCTGCCTTTACCGCAGCGTATGCTGGTGCTTACTTGACTTCAGAAATGGTATTGGAGATCACGAAGAAGGATATGGCTAACTCAATGAAAAAGCGTACTTGTCCAGGATGCGCAGAGTCACCATCATCGCTTGCATCTGTGTATTATTGGCTAACCGGACGCACTTCCATCTTTCGTAAGACCGTTCCAAAATCTCTCTTCCTCCAATTTACTGACACTTGAAGCGTGGGTTGCTCACTTGTCCTTGTCCCTTGGCAAGCGCAGTTTATGGCTGCGATCCTATTCTCTGCGATTCAGTCATGTTGTTGCTATAGCCATAAGCCGTAGATCGGCCTTCCAAAGAAGACAGGCTACGATTGGTTCCATCTTTTGCAGCATACGTATTGGCACTTGACATGATCGGTCTCCGATCCCAGAAAAGTATGAAAACCGAGCTTCATCTTGCTGGTCCCGCTGCCCCCAACAATAACCGCAGTGTCCAGCAAAGGCACATCATGGACCATCATCTTGCTGCAGTAGACGTGAAGGAGGCCTTTGCTCGCTTTTGGACCCGTCAGAATCGTCTCCCCTGGGACCTGCAGCCAAGGTTTCCAGGGGCGTTAAAAGCGGGTATTCAAAAGTTGCAACGCCCCAATATCTTCTGTGTCAGGAGCTGGGGTGTGTCTTGTAACGCATCAAGAATGACCTGCTCAGTTGAAAGATGAGAGCAGCTTCTTTTGGTTTTCGACTACCCGTGATCAGTGATCCACACAAATCGGTTCAGCGAAGGTAATGGACACGTTGCTGTTACGCAATCAGGCTTAGATGATTTGACTCTCAGGAAGCAAACTCTCAGGAGTACCCGGGACGTTTCTGCTCATTTGATTTCCATAGTTGACCGTCTCAACTCCCAGGTTTTGTCGTACTACTGGCTTCTAAATTTCGACGAACCAGGAATTTACTGTTTTCAAGAATGTTCGGGGCGAACAATGCGTTCCTACCGTGCACTTGATGTGGCCAAAGTAGTCAATGTTCTCAATGATGTCTTCGAAGAGACACGTAAGGCCGAGGTCCATCGCTATCTGCCTAGGCATCATGCAGTCAACGCCGGTGGCAGTGCCCTGAACGTCAATGCTGACGTGCGCGCCGCTGCCGTTGACGCTCTCGCAGATGGATGGCGCGTGGGGCGGGTGAGGGACACCGATCCTGTACGGCGTAAAATCTGCAAGAAGTACCCAGTGATTTGTTTGTTGAATCAAGGTGGTCTACTCCCAAAGCAGGCGCATCCTCTGACGCAATTCACTACCGAATTATAAGGAGATGCAATCATTGAAAAGCTTTCTCCTGAACGATTCCGCTGTAGAAGCTGCTTTATGCGCCCCAGACTCCTGATCTTACATGTTCTAATCTGGAGGCACACAGTGAGGCTGGCAGGTTAGAACGAAGCCGCATGCCTGTGCAATGCATGTGTGCTTTCTTTGACAGGGCTTGTCGGACTGCCAAAAAAGTCGGTAGGAGACTCGTTCCCAATAAGAATGACATTTCTTAAGGTCTACCTGAATGACTGGTGTCCCCGGCCAAGTTGAGCAAATTCAGCCTGAACAAAATCAAGGGCGTGATCGTTCTCCAAGCAACACGTTTACGAGCACATAAAGCCACGGTACCATCTGGTCTGCAATCATCAGAGATAAGGATGAGGTTTGACAACTTTCTTCTTAGCTCATTCAGCATTTTCCCGGGACTCACATGTTCGTGGCAGGCCTTGCGCCTTCGTCAGTCTCAGAACAGCTTTCCTTCCCACCAGCCTCTTGTTTCGGACACTCTCAACGGAAGAACCATCTGCCTTCAAAAAAGAAAAGCCCGACTTCAGGAGGCAGAAAGCTCCCTGTCGTTATGGCGTTCGCCACATCTTGGTAAGACAGTTGGACATCAGACCTGGGTTGTTGAGTTCTGAACAAAACCGGCGCGCTGTGCAGGAAGACAGGGCCTGCAGCAGGCACGTCAATGAGGAGGTCGACCTTCACAAACCGCTTGTAAAACTTTTCGGCCGCCATGTTCACAAACCTAGTGCGCTGCTTAATGGTCGAAGCTTGCCTGTGCGAGAAACTTGCTTCTGTCTCAAACTGCCTCAATCCTGTCCACGCGGCCGCAGTTGCGCGCTTCTTCAACCCGCGTGTGAGGGACCGCATGAGCCGCAGATTCGCGCTCAGGTCACTCGCTCAAGCCACGACAGGATGCGCGGCCGCGCGAAGCCGCCGCGCATATGCGCCTCGCGGGGCCCAGGGCAAGCACACTCTCAATCTGGCGAGCATTAGTGTCTGTTGCGGCAAGTCAACTAGAGTTGACCCAGTATATACGGGAGAGCAGAAAGTGCAGCTCTGTCATGCTGTTCATTGAACTCAGTAAGTTCGTCTGCTCTGATCGAGAGGAAGATGCGGGTTTTGACACTGTAAACTGGCCGGAACTTTTACTGTCACCTTAAGTTCCATGGGTGCCGACTCGGAAATCCCTCGTGCACTGCAAATAAATCATGGCGCAATGCGAAGATGGTATCATGTGCTGTATAAGCTAAACGCATCATGTGCAGGCCAGAGCCAAGTAGTACATACCGTCTGCTCTTTCAGCAAGCAAGCCCCCATGCAAACATTGCAATACCTTTTCGCCCTTATTAAGAATGTTCGCAACGTGCCATCTACTGTAGTGCACCTATTATCATCGCCCATGAGAAGACGTGCTCTATGTGGAACGGAAATCTGGGGAATGTTCATTTTCCATTTTTTGGGAAATCTTTTTAAGCGGTTGTACCTCGATCTTGTATCTATGCTTAATTGATTGGTTACTCATGATACTCATCCCTTTAAGACGTCCTAAGTGCATGTACGACGGACGCTATCTTCTCATTCCGCCTAGACGACAGTTGTGTCGTATCTAAGAGACAGAAATGAAGTACTGGTGAATCAGCTGTTCGACGGGAACAACCGGCAATCAGTCCGACTCTTTGCAGCATATGTATTGGCACTTGAGATGACTAGGCTCCGATCCCACAAAAGTATCAAAGCCGAGCTTCATTTTCCTCATCCCGCTGCCCCCAATATTGACCGTTCTGTCCATAAAAGGCAAGTCCTCGTGCACCATCTTTCTGCTGCAGTAGACGTGAAGGAGGCCTTCGCTCGCTCTTGGACCCGTCAGAATTGTCTCTTCTGGGACCTGCAGCCAAGGGTTGCCAGCTTCAACAAATATGCAGAACCTTTCAAGCCCCAATCCCAAGTGTCACGAGCTTACGTACATCTAAGAATGCATCGAAGCTGGCCTGCTCATTTGGAAGATGAGGGCAGGTTTTTAAATCATTATTTGTTTGATGATCAATCACAGTCAGAGGAGTCCACGAACACATTGCTGCTACAAATTAGGCTAGACAATTTGACTCTCAAGAAGCAAAGTCTCAGACTTCCAGGGCTTTCTTGGCTGGTATGTCTTCATAGGTGAGTGTCTCAAGAGTGTTTCCTTAGGCTATCAACCTCTGAAAGTCGGAGGCCATCAAAGGGCCGCACAGAATATGAAGGCAGTCCCTACCGTGCACTTGATGAGACCAAAGTAGTCCATGTTCTCGAGGATGTCTTCGAAGAGACATTGGAGGCCGAGGTCGAGTGCTTTCTGCCTGGGCATGATGCAGTCAACGCCGGTGGCAGTGCCATGCACGTCAATGCTGGCGTGCGCACCGCTGCCGTTAACGCTCTCGCAGATGGATGGCGCGTGGGGCGGGTTAGGGACACCGATGATATACGGCGTGAAATCTGCAAGAAAGATTCTTTGCCCTTGTGGTTGTGTGGTTGTGTGTTTGTTCAAAATGATGTCCAAATTCTCGCAGCACTTTTTGACGCCATCTGCCTCCGAAGTACAGAGACTTGAACAGTCAGAAAGCGTTTCATCTGGCGCTGGACGACTCTGCTGTAGAAGCTGCTTATTGATCTTACATGTTCTAACTAGAGGCACACAGTGACGCTGGCAGATTCAAGCGAAGTCACATGCCAGTGCAACCATGCCAGTGTGTGCTTTCTTTGACAGGGTTTGTAGGACAATGAATCCTACAAACTGGTTTCAGCGAATAATGTGAACTCCAAAGGTCTGACTAGAAGATTGATGTTCAGTCTGCGCACAATGATTATACGGGTAATGTTTTTCAAGCAACACATTCACAGATACATAGAACTGTATCATCTGGTCTGCAATCATCAGGAAGTACGATGCACTTCGGCAACCTATCATTCAACGCCTTTTCAGCGGCTTTCTAGGACTTACACGTTCGTGGCAGGTCTTCCACCTTCGTCAGTTTGAGAAGAGCCTTTTTCTCCACCAGCCTTTCGTTTTGAAGACTCTCGACGGAAGAACCATCTTTCCTCAAAAAAGCAAACCGGACTTGAGGAGGCAAGAAGCTTCATTTCGTTATGGCGTTTGCCACATCTTGGTAAGACGGTTGGACGTCAGTACTGGGGTTGTCCGATCTGAACAAAACGGGCACGCTGTGCAGAAAGACAGGGGCGTCTGCAGCAGGCACGTCAATGAGGAGGTCGACTTTCACAAAGCGCTTGTACACACCTTCGGCCGCCATGTTCACGAACTTGGCAGTCTCCTGCTTCGATGAAACCAGCCTTTGTGTTGTCTAACAAATGAATTGTAATAAGGTTTTCTTCTCTTTGTGAACTAGGAAGCCCGCAGATCCGCGACTCACGCGGCCGCACTGGGGCGGCCCCAAACCCCGGCCGCGGCGGCCGCCAAAACCGCGAGGTTTCGCAACGCGCGGCCGCCCGCGGCTGATTTTGTATGTACTTCTCCACATAAATTTGAAAGCAAGCTGCGCAGACGGTCATCTGCAGGAAGGTCGCATCTTAGACGCAGTCAGCTCCTTTGCCACTGTTGGGCTTTTCGCACTGCAGCGAGCCATGACCGCCCATGGTACTGAGGAGCTAATAGCGCCCATTCAGAACTTGTCATGTAAGGCTGCGCAGCGCAGTGTGAGGATTAAAGATGGACAGGACAATCTGGACTTCATACTCTGAAAGCTGCATGGCTCCTGTCAGAGTACGCCGTCGGAACCAGAAACTTGCCCTACGTACAAGACTTTGCAATCTGGACGTCAGGTGCTCATGGAAGCTACAATCGCATGTTTCTTTCTTGTCGTCCAGTAAAACTTGAGCGCAAGCATTGTGCAGGCTGAGTAGAGTGACTGATTGAAAAGCTTAGTTCGATCGCTGTCGCGGACGACTCGTGTCTTACAGTTCTATGCTTTTGACATCCAGTCACTCCGGCTCAAGCGCCCAGTCAACTTGCCGGGGTTGCATGACCAACTTTGGCGCCACCTACCATGCATTCAATATATAATATGTCGATCCTCATTTCGCCATGAGATATATTTTCGGTCATGGGGCCCGTATCATCTGGCAACCAAACGAATGCGGACATCCATTTGATGGTCAAGCTAGGGGATGAACGTCAATATGCAATTGATGAGCGGCCGGGGACTAACCGTCAACATAATTCCAGTCAGCCGTGAGGCCAGGCATGAGCGTCGAAATTCTGGCATCCCGAAGTTCCAGACCATACGAGAACGGTGGAAAGTCGGAAAGAACATGTGCCAATCGCACGAATACTTCAAAAACCTCCAGTTTAATGAAGAGCGCCCAAAAGCTCTTTTTTGAAACCAGTATGTTGTACAGCCTGCCTGAGCTTTTGCTATGGATGGAATTAAGCTGTGGACGGCATGCTGACCAGGGAGCTGGGCTTTCATCCAAACTCGTGTGAACGCGCAAGCCCAGGGTCCAAGGAACCATCTTGAGTTAAAAAAGCCTGCAAAGCAGAAGAAAGTCGTATAAGCTAAGAGACACGTCTTTAGCAGTTGTCCGGACAAGGATAACATGGCACTCGGTGGGGTCCCTTCTGAGAATTGCAGCATCAGCCGCAAAAGCACTGTTCCAAAAGGAGTAGACGGATCGGCGTCCAGACTTTAAGATCCACGTCTGACCAGAAAGAACTGAGACTTCTCACAGACCAGAATCTGTCTGCGCAATCGTTTGAAGCTGAATACGAGGAACCCGGGCAGAAGTGGTCATCAATAAGAACGCCCAAGACTCGTCATAATACACCAAAAGCTATCCCCTTCCGACTCTGAGACGCAACTCATGTGTCCAGGTATTCGTCTCACCTCTCTACATACGACTAAAAGATAGACAAGGATTCGCCCACCAAGCGGTTCTATCCCACAAGCGGACATCCATCAGGACAAATTCGCCGCAGTACTCACCTGTACGGAGTACTTAGTAACGGCCCGCTCTTGAACTTCTGCAGTGAATGCAGAAAGCCACTCCTTCGGGCCACCTCCATTGAATGCCCATTCGGGTCTCTTCAGGGACCACCGCTCCTCCAGAAACGCCCGCTTATGCTCCACCTCTGCCCGCTTATGCCCCTACCCTTGCCCTCTGACGGTCCAATGGGGCTCCCGAGGCGCGTTCTTGATCCGCTCGTGTAGCGGGGGTCCTTCAATGAACCACGTGGGTTTACTGGGCTTCTTGGCGGGGCGCACGTAGACGCAGTCTGGCGGCACCGGCAGGCCCAGCGTTTGGAGCATCTCCCCCACCCTGCCACGTGTCACCCTCAGCTTGCGCGAGTCCTTGTAGTGGCTGCGCTCCGACAGCCACCGCATCAACTGCGGGCGTAGAACGAAAGGCATAAACACTCTTTCTCAAGCGCATGCTTTCACTTTGCCTCGATTTGTCATGGAACGCTGGTTCTTCTCTGGTTTCAGAGAATGTTCAAAGTAGCCGCGTGGCAGACATGCCCGAATAAGTCCGAGCTAAGTTGCTTCACGACAAAGTGGGGAAGGGACAAACAGAGGAGGGGACGTCAAGAACAGGGGCAAACTTGGAAGGAGCAAACTGTAGACATGAGACTGCAGAAACCAATGGAAAGTGAAGCTTCGACGAATGGTCTATGACTGCAGAGCTATGTGAACTCAGCGAAGAATTCCCAGGGGAGAAAAGGGTGAAGTGTCTGGCCAACAACAACAATGGCAGGTCTGAATCCTGATAGTAAGAAAAGAGAACTGTCGTGGCTGATGAATTGCTGTTTACCAGGGCCTGACGGCTTTGACACAGATTGCCCGGCCTTTAGTACAGAAAGGCACAGATCAGCTGGATGCGAGCAACGTATACGCACACAACGGAAAGGATACTTGCAGGGCGGCTCCTCACCAATAAGGTTCGATCAACGTCCTTCATGTCGATCAGCCGCCTCAGACAGTAGATCATCCGGCCACAAGCGGACGCACCGTTCATGCGCCACTTGGCCTGCAGATCCTCAAACAACTTGTGCAGCTTCTCTTCCCCGTGCACTGCTATAATTTTCTCTACAGCAGGCTCCAGCACCTTGTTCCGCTTCTTTGTCTCACGCATCCACACCGCTGATGTTACTCGGTCTCCCGCCTTCACCTCCCTGTGGCGCAGCGGCTCTGTGACCTTATCATCAGAACTGGTGCGCTTATCAAATGAAGCCGTGCTCTTATCGGAAGGAAGCACCGTGTCTCCATCTTGGAGAGAATCTTTGACTGCGCACTTGTGAAGTGGTACTTGATTTGTCTTGGAAGCCTCCTTCTCTAAGCCAGGCGCTGTTCTTCTACCATAGGAAGTGGTGGTATGTGTACCCCTCTGGAAGGCATCTTGGGAGGTTCGAGCTTTCAGCTCTGTGTTCTGTTTTTGACTCGAGCTATGTATCGTTCTTGACAAACCTGGCAAAAGCAATGGTGTCATCGACTTCTTGGCAGCCCCATGCTCGCATCCTAGCGCTGATGGCCGGCCCTTTGCTGCTCGCTTCCACAATTTCCACACATTGAAACCAGACATCAAGGTGGGATAGGGCATATCCAAGTGTTTCAACAGACTCGCTGAACGTGCAGGATTGCTATAAGAAGGAGTCACCCCGCAGCTTGCACCTGCATCGCTGGCGCCGTTTTGCGCCCCACCACATCGCAGCTGGTTTTCTCTTGTTTCCAAGGAGTGCTGGCCAAAAGAGACTTGTGAGAGGGGAGCCGAGATGTGTTCCAGCTGAACGCACTTGAGAATGCTAACCCGTGCTGCATTCCATCTCAGGAGGGCGGCTGAGATGCGCTGGGCAGCCATGGCTGCCCTCCAAAAAGCACTTCAAGTTTTAGCTGAGCTAGGAAGTTGTGCCAATTTGTAGATCAGACTTTTTAGGAGACTACGTTCCGCTGCGGAACCGCGAATTCCGCGCCAGTCGCAGCTTGTAGCTTCGGTACCGTTACCAAGTACAAAACGGTAGATTGGAAGCCTTTAGGCGCCTATAATATACGTTGTGGTTCTGGCTGGTATTAAAAAGCGGTCCAGTTGGCCGACAACGGTTGTCTTGATTTGATTCCGCTGACCCTTGGCAGCGCCCTATCGTAAGCGGAAAGCCGAAACTGTGCGTACTTGCATTTGCTTTGCAAACAGTCTTCCACCACCTGTTGCAAGATTCGCGTTGCATTTCAACCTGCACAATTCTGAAAGACGAGGCGCAATGAGGGGTGCCAATCTTTTTGAGCAGCTCCCGGATAGCTTGGTCTCGCAGATTATCTCTGGAGTTCACGATGCCAGAGACATACAGCGAGTAGCGGTATGCTGCCGGAGATTCAGGCTGCTGGCGCAGCAAGTAGAGGGGCTTACGTTTGATGCCAATGCCCTGGGTCACGTAAGCATGGCCGACTTTGAGCTGGGTGTCACCCTCATGCTTGCTCGTGTCTGCAAGACTTCGACTTTGAAGTCTGTCAAAGTCTTGGTGAGGAGAGAGGAGCAGCTCACCGAAGGGAACGTAGTTGCTTGGATCGCTACAGTCAGGAACAATGTCGAAGAATTCATGGTCTATGGCTGCCGGAACAAGGCAGACATGAACAAGCAACTACAGATTGCGTCCCACTGCCCTCGCCTGAGGAAATTGACCCTCCCAGGATCCGTAATGTGCCCACTGCAAACCGAGTCCATCTCAAGGTGTCAAGGGGGTTTTAGATTGCTCGAGGAGCTTCAGCTGTCGGAGATCGATATAAGTGACCAATCTCTGCATAATTTGATCGCCTTGTGTACAAAGCTGCGCATATTCTTCCTTGAAAGCGTTTCCAGTCTGAAGAATGTTGCACTTGAGAGCAAAAATCTGGAGATTATGTCTTTGAGGTCCTCTGGAGAAGGGTTCGCTCGAGTGTCCCTGGCCATGCCGGAGCTGAAAGTCCTGGCAATAGGGGATCTGGGTGACTCGTTGATCATCAAGAATTCCCCGCTTAAGGAGCTCTATCTTTTCAATTGCTCCAACCAATTGGAGGTTGATCTGGGTGGCAAGCAGGATCTGATAGCTTTTACAGCTGAACAGCTTCCTTGGCCTCCTCCATACGAGGTTGAGAATCGAGTGGCCTTCTCTTGGTACACAAATCTTCTCGAGTTTGCACGGCCAGACTCATTGAACGTGGTTCAAGTACCCTCTGTGGATGTCGATGAGGTCATTCCCCTAGCAGCTACTAGGAAGTTCTTTAATCACGTTGGCAGGGTGGAGGAGATTGCACTCCCTGCTAGTTTCCTCTCGGCTTGTGTGATTGACGCCTTCGACGGGGCCACCCTTTCAGCGGAGGACAAAGCTCAGCGGGTTTTTCAAGGCCTCAAGTTCCCGCATTTGTTAGAGATTAAGCTTTATTTGGAGACTGAGGATTGCAAGGACTGCGTTGCTTTCCTAGAAGCTTACGTTAGGCGGTGCCCGTTGTTGGAAAGGCTGATTGTCCATGCGGATTCGTGCGTTGAGGAGTACGAAATCCCGGGTGTACTTGTGTCTAGGCTTTTAGGCCTCCAGCGTGCGTTTCCCAAGCTGGTAATCACGATGGAACTTCCTGAGAAGTTGGTTCCAAAAGAGTAAAGTGGGCCCGCTTGCTCTGATTAGTCTCGAGCTAAGCTAGGACCATAAAATTGAGAATTCAATTCGTACATGCAGATTGCTAAGCATGTTGGTTCGCATGGTGCAAGATCAAAAGGAAGTACTTGAGACTTGAAGATCTGACGGTATCCAAATACGAAGCGTCGATGATTGCATTGGTGACTCGCCGAATTCATTGAGTCTCCACTCGCTTATCCAAGCTGTTAGACTTGCATAAACTTATAGTACAAAGCACCATGAGTGATCTCTATGCACGTGTTGCTTCAATTACTTATAACCGCATCGAGGAATCATTGTAGATCACGTCTCTTCGCACCAGTCCGACAGTTGACACAACAGCTCATTCGTTGGTCAGATCGATTCAACTAGCCGCGCTTCAATCTACTGATTTCATATTCTCTTTCGGAATCATATGCGGCGCCGTTGATCCAATAACTACAGCCACATACTTTGTACTGCATGTTTGCACTGTTCTATGCAAACAATGGGTCCGACAATTTGACGCGTCATGGCCGCCCGGATCCAAAGTTATACGTGTTTCCGTATAACTTCGTTAAAGTTCGCCGGGGAAAGCCTGCGCAAGCTTGAAGCCATGCACATCTACATACACCGTACCTTCATTTATACTAGAACGATTACCATGTCCGATATATATACTCGATCATGAAAAATAATCGATCGATCGTGGTCGATCTAGCTTACGGAAGTTTTCAATGATCGAAACTGTACACGTCATACGTGCAAGCACTGGAATAAAAGTCAAGTGATTATTTTGCATGGAACGTAGTATGCAATTTTTGTAGAAATAAAATGATTACACGAAGTTACAAGCAAGCAATTCCGTTCTCTTTGTAGAACTATACTATTTAGCTGAGTCGTCTTTTTTGATCATCTATCCTGGAACTCTCCTGACCGTCGTTTGTCACTAGTACCATTCCCGCAAATCGAACAATGTCAGTCGTTTACTTCGTTTAGCCAATCATTGCAAACCGGAATTGCACGGCCTTGCGCTTTTGTGCCTTTCCTTTTATATCTTTCGAAAGCCATCTAAATCAATCCTCAAGTCGTGGGCATCCAGGAAACAAAACTGCCCCGCTTCGTTGTCGTACTTTGCGCACTCTAAAAGCTTCACATCCGCGGCAAAATTGACGTACTTACAACCGTACAGCCCAACACATTGTACCGGGATTGTACCGTTCACTCTTTGTAAGCCTTTGCCGCCGCAGGCCTCTTAGCCACCTCCGCATACCAGGCGGAAATGTTGGGGTACTCTTCGGGCGAAACCATGTGGAGCAGCTCGTCCGCGAGATACACAGTCTGTAAAGAAAAGGCAAAGCAACTGGTATCAATCTAAGGTTTGCTAAGAGATGATTTCATTATTTGAGGGGTGACTGACAGCGCAGGTTTGCTGACCCCTCTCGCTCCTGCATATGCCATATAGGGAGGAAGCTTGCGTTGCTAAATACTGGTACTTTGAAATTGTATCCTGGTCCAGAGCAAAGTGGCGGATTTGAGCCGCAAAAACGAGCGGAGGTAGCGGGAAATTTGACACTGTTCGATCACACATGCGGAATCTCAAGCGTGCCAGGACTACAGCTTGACAGGGATTTTGTCGCTTCGCACGCAGTAAGGCATCGCATCCTGGTTGGCTGTGGTGTAAATGAGTCAGCTTGGATGACGTGACAAACCCGAAGTTAATGAAACAATTGCGTCGCGCTAAACAATGATGAGCAATCAACAGCATCTGCGCTCGATTCGTGGACGTTAGAATCATCAGAGGGCTCGGGGTAGCGTGCCACAGGCGACGAAGCGTGGACCAGTGCAGTGTCAAGGAACGACACCACTCTCAGACGGTTAAGTGCTGCCGCTAGAGCGCCACGTGGCCCCTTGCTCACTGACCATGCTCCCTTCACGAGATGGCAAATAGAGAGACTTGCCAGTGCAAAAACCTTTGACACCGCTTTCATTTGAATTCAGCGTTCAACACGGGTTTGGAAAGTTGCGGAAATTGAGCAGGCTTGATTTGGGCACCTTAACGCCACGAAAAGAAACCCTTTTCCTAGCACGAATCTCGTTCAAAAAGAGTTTGGAATTGAAGAGCCGCTTCGGTCGGTAGCCGACAGCTCCAGGCGTAAACGTGCTGGAAGGCCAGCTTTATGCTAGAAGGGCTTTGTAGCATAGCTGGGCCTCTGTGTGTGGCGTATAATTGGAGCTTAGAGTATAGCGTATAAAGTGCCACGTCACGATCGTCAGCCCACCTGGTACAGCACGATGTCCGCAGCGGTGAAGGAGCCGTTTACGATCCCGAACGTCTTCCCGGCCAGCGCTTTCTCGAGTATCGCCAGGCCCTGAGTCACGCCAATCTTTGTCCTACGGAGACCACGAAAAGTAGTCGATTTTAGTGGGTGGGACTCGTTTTATATCCATATGTCTACGATCCAGACAATCAGTCCGAGAGTCCGCCTCTAACTCGTCAAATAAAAGCGATTTCGTGTTTCATCAAAAGCCTTCAGCCCCCGTGATTCCTTGAGGGGTCAAGAGGCATGCGGTCCGTCAGAATGAAGCGCCTAGAATCCGATCCAACGGGAAAGGTCTATTCACTTGGCCGTTATAACGTGCGTACGTGGAAGGCAACCGGATCAGATACGAAGAACACGTAAAAAGCAGTCCTGTCAGTCCTCCGCTCGCAATCCGAGAGATCGCTCGAAGAAAGGTAAGTCGTCGTCTTGGAAAGAAAAGAAAAAGGGCAAACTTCGCCTTGGCCAAGATGCAGATGCGCCGATTCGCAAATGCGAGTGAAAAGCGCGTAAGTAGAATCGGCTTCACAATTTTTTAATTTTGTTTTTTCTTTTCTTTATTTTTAATAGTTTATAAAACGTGTAGACGAATTGCTCCACGTCTTGCAATTCACCGATTGAGCGCCTCGCCTTTTGAGTGTGCACGGCCAAATCTCAAGAGTTGAATAGATTCAATTCGTTCTAGTCCGCAATCTCGCGTCTTGCTTTTCCCATCGCCACAAGGAGCAGCGACCGGAAAGCCGGTTCCGAAGTTGTCCAGACATATCTTGACACGTCAAATTCCTTTCGCTGAGCTTCAGGAATCTTTAACTGTCCTCTCAAGCCAGTTCAGCCTCTGGGTCACGAACGAAACGCAGAACGGCATGCCTTTTCTTTCTGGAGTGTATCTGCATATCTATCTGATCCTCGTTTTCAACACAGCCGCAAGTTCGGAGTGCCGAAAATCCAAAGAACGACAACTTTCAGCACCTCCTTGAGGTCTGAGCAGGGAAGGGCTTCGACCGTAGTGACGTCAGCGGCACTCACTGCTCCGCGGCGCGCGAGTCAGTGCGGCAGCTCGAGCGTGTGCATCTCGGTGTGTTTTCGAATCTTTGATTCAAAGGCAGTTTTCGAAGACTAAAACGATCTTGAGCAGAAAGTCAGACGAGAGCAGGGCTTCGAGAAGAGTGACGTCAGCAGATGACGTCGGCGGGACTCACTGCTCCGCGTCACGCGCGTTGCGGCGCTCCTCCGGCAGCACGAGCGTGTGTCTCCTCTCACTTGTCCAGCGGCATTTCGAAGACTAGAATGATCTTGAGCAGAAAGTTAGAGGAGAGCACGACGTCAGCTGACGTCAGCGGCACTCACTGCTCCGCGGCGCGCGCGTTGCGGCGCTCCTCGGGCAGCACGAGTGTGTGCATCTCGGTGTAGCCGACGGCGGCCGCGAGGGTCGCCTCCGCGAAGACGAGCCAGTTGAGATACGCCGCGCGCGCGTGCTTGTCGCTTATGGGCGGGGAGAGCTTATGTTCTGGGTCGTATTGCTCCACTAGGTATTGCATGACGGCCACTGCACGAGGGCGGAATGTACTTTGTTTGACGGACCAGTAGAAAGGCGCTACTGGTCAATTCCACCATTTTGTTTTGGCAAGTTTATCCTGTGAGTTTTGTGCAGCCGAGCTATTTCTCAGGATAATCAAGCTCTAAAAGGTTCCGACTTGGTCCTGCCGGTCCCGAATCCTGATCACATTTTACAAAGTCAGAAACGGTACACTCGTCACAGCTCTTTTGATGCGCTGGAATTTCGTGCTTGTAAAATAGAGTACGGTTGCCTCAAAACGTGATTCAAATTCTTCCCGGCTCCCTAAGAACCTTTGGCCGCGGAGGGTCACGAAACACAAACCTGTGGCTTCAGAAAGGCAATTATTTTCTATTAGTATGTCTATCGCCCATATCCTGAAAGTACTTATCTCGGACCTTGAGTTCCGCAGCCCAAAGCCGCTGACCTGACTCAATGATGGTGATATCAGGGCCGTCCGTGAAACCCGGAAGCAGTCCCAGGGGGTGAATGGAATCCACGTACTCGGCGTCGTCCCTCAGACCGAAAGGCAGGAACGGCTTCTTGACGACCTGAGGAGATCAGCGGCGACCCTCTTAGCGAATCTGTTGTGGGTAGCACTATCGCGAACACTGAATGATCGATAGAAACCTGGGCGTTACGTGTTAAGCGTCAACTTTTGAGCATTCGTTTGCGTCGAAAATTGGACATGCGAAGGGCAGGAACCCCTGCTTGACGAGCTGAAAGTATCACGAAATCCCTCTTAATTCTTGCTGAGATCGAGAAGAAAACGTCCAATCTCAAAAGTACTTGTTACTCGGTCTGCACCATAACCTCGAGCATCTCCCTGCTTCAGTACCAGTCTCTGACGCTGCATAATCTGTTGAACGAGTCGATCCAACTTTCTGAACTATCAAGCGCCCTTCCTTCACGGCAGTGAGTATGTAGCTTTGTACCGCTGCTCCAGGTTACAGAAATGAAATTTGGCGGCGACATTTTCACCTTTATTGGTACCTTTGCAGGTATCTACTGTCTTGCAAACCCAAGTAGAAAATCTGGGTCACAAAATTGGGTTTCGGGCGGACTACTGACCTTGTAAGGTAAGCCCAATTCTTCGAGCAGAAACACGACCCGAGAAGAGCGGGTCATTCGAGCGTGGTACACCTGAACAGAAGGGCAGGTGTCAGATTATCAATCTGGCAGTGAAAGTAAGAGCGGGGGTTGAGAAGAAGCTGGGGGAAAATATCTCTATTTTGCTGGTCCCTGTTTCCAAACAGACTGTGGATCTATGAGAAAACCACTGCCGGAGATTTGGTGGGACGGTGGCGACCATACGAGAGAGCTTTTGCTGATACTTGGGGAGGGATTGAATATTTTTCCACCTCCAGCTTCCTCTTAATGTCAATCTGGTTTAGGAGAAGGCGGTCAGCAATCAAGTGGACCAGTGCAGCTGAGAAGGAGTGCAATAATCAACCTTATGAGGCGGATACTATGGCTAGCTCGCAATGGTGATTGGAATGACAGAGGGATCTGGAATCTGTTTTCTGCTTGATGACAACGTCGAAGACTAGCAATTTGGACTAGCAATAGTTTCCATATCTATGGTCGGCTTTGCTTCTGACAACCGTACTTGCTCTCAAGATATCTAAGCAACTTCGTAGATCACGCGGGCATCCAGTGGCTCCAAAAAGCTCAGAACGGCCGTGACTTTCTGAGCGCGAGCTTGATTGACACAGCTAGAATCCGACGTCACTTCAAGCATTGGAGTTTTGAAAGACTTGTGTCCTTTCTCCAATCTGAGGACAGACCATCACCTCTTCAGTCTTTGCACACTCGTTATTGGCACGCTGCAAGTGAGCTGTTTATTCTGATGCACACGTAATCTACAGGTCGTTGATTTGAGAGGATACGTTACTTCATTATCTGCTATGAGACACAGAAGACTGTTGCAGGCAGGGATTGTCTGATAGAACGGGCCAGTGGATGGAGCCATGATAGATGGCAATATGTACGGTTTGATAAGGTGAGCACAATAAATAAAAGTCGCAAGATCCAAGACACGACTTTCGAGCACGTGTCCCTTCCTACTCCCTCACAATTCGAGCTCAATGTAGGAGGAGATCCAAAATACCAAAACCGATTTTGGATTTATGCAAAATCTGTCTGACTCGAATTTGCATCAACTGCTGGGCAATGCAACTTTGCAACTGTGATCGGTACTAAGCAAAAGAAGTTTTTTGAGCTAACCTGCAAAGCTCAGCATTGCAACCGGGGACACTCTTACCCTAGCAGAGATGCAAGGACGCTCACCGTAATGTCTGAACTGGGCGCCATTGGATTCAGATGAGCCACGCGCCGCCTGCTGGATGTAGTGTCAACACTGGATTCGGGCTTACTAGCTCAGCTGTGCCTGTTCCACTAGATCAATAAGCATGAGCAATCCAATCAATGCTCCGGTCTGGCAGCAGCTGGCAAGAAGTGATAACACAGGCGGACTGTGCAAGGGATATCTGCTCAAGTTGCTTATTGCGCTTGCTGTGCTTTGTATCACTGATCGGAGAGCTGATATGGGCTGTAGCTGCGGAACAGCTCCTTAGCAGCGCTGTTGTCAATGGGTTGAAAACGAAGTGATGTTTTTCAGGCCTCTGCTGCTGAGACGGTAGACCTAGCTCTGAGATTCCGCGAAGAGAAAGTTTGGAGACTACCTTAGAGTGGAAGCGGGAATCAGCGACCATGTACCTAGAACCAAATTTCAATCAAGTTCCATGCACTATTCCAGTTCTAGGCTCCAGCTCTTGCCAAGCTCCCTTGCCGGCCGACCTCCTTGGGCCTCCTTGATTCATCATTAGGATGACGACATTATCGAATCTTTGTCCCCGGGCACCTTCGCAACAGTGCTGTAGCAGCTACCGGGTGCTACTCTGCAGGTCACCCTGCTGCTTCCGAGCGGCAGCTGGGGCAACTTCCAAGTTCCAAAATCATGACCAACCGCGCTAGTGTCGGTAGTCGGACGGTAGGTACCAACCGGGTTAGCCTTTGACGTCACATCATCTTCCAAATGCATAATGCGCCAGCATGCTCCTGTGCATACAGAGCCCAATCGAAGAATATAACTTGCAGTATTGACTAATTGCAGAATACCGGTATACCGTTTTCATTATATAACAAACCGGTGGGACTGCAAGTGAACCTTTGCCCCTCTGTTATTAGGCCACCGGCACGTCCTTCGCCTTGACTCTGCACCTCTATCCAAAACCCATCCGGCGATTGGCCACTCTCAAAACATAAGCAGGGACCGTAGACAGTCAACATGCAACTTCCAGAAAGGCTTTGAAGAATAGGCGACATGTGGAGGTTTAGCAAGCTTGCAAGTCACTAGCGAGTCTGGCTCAATGTGGCTTTTCACTGTCCAATCCTTTCTATATAATCTGCTTCACCTGATGCATTCAAAGCCTGATAATGACCTATACAACATAACGCTGGCGGCTGCCACAATGCCAAGCTAGCCGTATTGAAGAAAGGACCCATCACGTGTCAAGGGGAAGTATGTAGGCGCTGCGTTAAAGAGCATCTTCGTCTATTGACATTCCATAGCTACTCTTCCAGAAGTTTACATCGTTAAACTCGGACTTCTCTGCTGGACCCACGTGATTCTGTTTCGCTGACGCCGATTCCTCGGCTCCCAACTTGCCACCCGTAGCTTCGCCAGCGCCTATTACGTTTGTTGGAGCATGCGCGCCGTGTGCGGGCGTTTGCAACGAGGTAGAAGGCGCCTCCAAGGACCGCTGGTGCTTGTCAACAGCCTCCATCCTCGACTCGCTTTCGATCGCTTCCGCGGGCTTCTCATCCGAATCCTGCTTTGAAAACGCGTGGCCCAAGCTAGCCCCGATTGCCCCAACGCCGCCAACTGCCGCCGCTCCGAGAGCGGCCAAACCCCCGAGGGCTCCCCGCGACTCGGGCTTGACATCCTTCTCGGAAGTCAACTCCGGGCTTGCGTCGTCTTTCAAACCCTCTTTGGGTCCTTTTCCATGCCCGAGCTCGGACGTGTCTTCTTCTAGCTTTGCATGCTTGTCAGTTTCATGGCTATCATGCTCCTTCCCAACTTTTCCCTTGGGTTGCTCCACGGTCATTTCACCGCCAGACTCGCTCATCTCTCGCACCCCCTCCTCCGAATCCACTTTCTCCAAACCCCCCTCGGTGGCCGTGTCTAGCGAGTCCGCTGAATACAACCCCCGCCCCTCAGGCTCCGCGTTTTCCGACCCCTCCTTGGAAGGCTTCTCCAACGAGTCCGACGAGAAGCGCCCTTCTTCGGGGGTGTCCGAACCAGGCGTTTCCGACCCCTCTGGCGCGCGGCTGGCGTCGTCTTTGAACCACCCAATCTCCGTAGCAGTCCCCTGCTGCATGGCGCTGTGCGCTTCCTCCGCATGGGGGGTCGCCTGCGCCGCAGCAAACAGGTCGACGGGAGGGGAAGGGGGCCCCCCCTTTGCGAAAAGGTCGTTGAGGGGGGGTCCCTGGCTGACGCCAACATCCCCCCCGGCAGAGGCAAACAAATTGGTGTCGAGGGGCTCCGCTTTCTCGTGCGCGGGTTTGGGGGGGACGGCGGAGAAAGCGGAGGGCCCCCCAACCGTGAAGGGCGTCTCATCGGCGAAAAGGTCGATATTGCGGGCGGGGTTGATGGGGAAAGCGGGGAAGGAATGGTTGGGGGGTTCGAACGAGTCTGGCGAGCCAAACGACTCGGGGGATCCGAAGCCGCGGCTAGGGGGCTTTGAGGGCGTAGGAGAGCTTGCAGGTACTGGCGAATCTGCAAACGAAAGAGGACGTCAGCAACGAGTCGCGGTGGCAGAAGCGTCTAAAGCCTACTTTTTGCAACTGCGAAGAGAGCGATTTGTTGCCCCCCCAACCCCCTTTGTTTTCCTTTTTTTGTAGGTCGGACTGAGGGCGCGCAGAGCTGTCTGCCCTGCTAAACATCGGACAAGAATTCTGTCAACAATGGCAGTGCTTAACAAAGCACCGCTGGCCTCTTTCTCCGCAACACTCACCAGAGAAGTTGGCGGCGAAGTCCGCCGCAAAGGAGTTGAAGTCCGCAAACCCGCCCGGCGGAGACCCTGCGGGAGCAAAGAAGTTCTTGGGGGCAGGGGCCGCGGGCGGGTTGGCGGGCTGCGTGGCCCTGAAGGGCGACGCGTCGCCAAACAGGTCCACGTCCTGGGTCGCCTCCTTGGCGAGCGCCGCCTCGGAGAGCTTCCCGCTGCCCTCAGCGATGACGCCAGCAGTGCCCACTGCAGCACGACAAGGACGGGTTTGAGATTGTGTGATATATACGAAAAATCACAGAGCCCAGCGGATAATATTCGCTTTTTGCTATCTTTTGTTGCAAGAGTATCACGTATCCAAAAGCTTCCATCACCGTCAAAAAACCCGGCGAGCCAATGATCTTCTGCCAAATCCGAATTATCCTGCTGAAAACCGACACTAGGACGGCGCAGGTCACATGTTTCACTTGCTGAGCCACATGCAGAAGGCAGATAAGGAGGGTGCGGAATCAGCACCGAAGGGATCTGAGGTTCGACCCAACAAACGGCTCAATGAACGACGCAGCCTTGGTAAGCTCCAGGGAGAACAGCAGTAGGTTCCAAAGAGTGCCGTTGTTCGGCAGCTGGCTGTGCCGCTACGACTGCCTTCGGCCACCCCACGCACAGAAAGCTCTGTGACAAGCGACACAAAGTCGATGGAACGCCGCAATCGAAGGCTCAGTCTCCTTACCGTTCCCGGCCGCGTGTGCTGGCGCCCAGGTGTTCACTAAGCCACTGAACAGCGATTGCGACTCCTTAAAAACCCTCGACGGCTCGATGCTTGGAAATCATGAGACCCGGATCCAGAGTACACGTTCCTTACGGCTGCCACTGCAGGCACTTTCGCGCGGTCCACTAAGCGACTTCACTGATGCATCTTAATCCCCTTACAACCCTTGAGAGCCTGAAACCCTGAACCCATAAACCCTCATTTCTGAGCCCCACGTCTCCCGGCTGCTGCCAAGGGCTGCTGAATCTCCTCAGACCCCTTACAGAGCTTGAAAACCTGAAACCAGAAACCCTTGATTTCGCAACTCACGTTTCCCGGCTGCCGCCGCTGCCGCAGCTTCCGACAAATCCACTGGCGCCGTTGGGCTCCCGGGCAGCATGTCCTCGTCTCCAAGCACAACCTCGTCGTCGCTGCCCCCCCCGCCGGAAGACTCCCCCGCACCTTCGACCTCCAGGGCAGTGGGCTTGGGGAAGCGGAAGCCCCCCCTCGGGACTTTGGGGGACACCTCTTCTTCATCGCTGTCGCTATCAATAACCTGGACAGAAAAGGATTCTAAGACATCAGTAGCTCGGATAAGTGGTGACGTATCTGCTACAAATTGATGACGTTTCTGCTACAAATTGCATGAATCGGAAGCCCCCCCTCGGGACTTTGGGGGACACCTCTTCTTCGTCGCTGTCGCTATCAATAACCTGGACAAAATAAGATATTGTAACATCAGTAGCTCGGATGAGTGGTGACGCAGCTGCTACAAATTGCATGAATCGGAAGCCCCCCCTCGGGACTTTGGGGGACACCTCTTCTTCGTCACTGTCGCTGTCGTTAACCTGGACGGAAAAGGATTCTTAGACATCAGTAGCTTCGAGGCATGTTGTCGCATCTTGCTACAAATTGTGGGAAACCAGAACCACCCCCTGCGAGGGAAAAGCGGGGGGAGACTTCCTCTTTGTCCCTGCCGCTACCCGATAGAAGAATGATGAGACTTTCAGCGACCAATAGCAACGAGAATGGATGTTGCCGCAACTTCTTTAGAGCTGGTTCGAACCGCACTAACAATGATTGCACGCCCTGATTTCCCTTTAAAAAGCCTTAAGAGGCCGACTACGCGTTCTTGAAAACCAGAGTCCATCAACAGGCGCATTGGAAGCGGGAAGAACTTTGAAAAGGATGAGAAACCAGAATGCACTTTTGGGACACGGAAAGTGTTGATTGAGTCCCGCATCAGAAAGTTAGGAAGGTAGAAAGGGGAATAAGCAGAAACGTCCGTGAATCGCAGCAAAGAGGAAGAAGGACGATGCATTTGGAAGCACGGAGAGGACACGGATACCAAGATGTAGAGTGTGTGCAAAATTTTCCGCACCTCCGCTCCCTCGGGGCTCCTCTTCGACGACGTGGCTTCCCCCTCGTCCTCGTCGCTGCTGTCGTCACCCCCCAGATGCAAGGACGAGATGACCACCTCCGCGGTCTCGTCGTCGAAAAACACGTCCTGCTGCAAGGGCGCCCAACAGCAGATTACGATCTTCTGTTGTCGAAAGAGGTGAATCCACAAAGGATCAAAACACGTTCTTGCCCCAGCCTTTGAGATGCTCGAAGGATCCGGCTGAAAGAATAGCTGAACAGAGGACCTTCACCGTGCTTCTTTGGAAAATACCAGCTTTGCAACGGCTCAGGTTAAACCCGCTGATTTTTTGTCTTCTTCAGAGCCCGTCCTAGAGCGAGCACGCGGGTGGTTGCGACACCGCTCCTCACAACTCGCTGCGAAGCCCACAACGGCTTCCTGTCTCCATCTTTAGCCACAAGCAACTTTCAAAGTACTTCAGTACTGAAGAGGCTTGCCGCTGAAATCCGAGTAACCTTTTCGAGTTCGTTTTGTCAATTAGTCTATTAACGCTATACGCGAATCTGCACGCCGTAACCTTGCCTTGATTCACCCGATCGCCGAAGCATTTCCCGTGACATGCTAATATGTGCGCCTTTAACAAACCCACACTTGAACCTCAGACTAAGGAAGGTCAGACTTCGTGACTGACCTCTTCGACCTCCCCGTCGAACACTCCGTAGCGGTTGCTGAAGCGGTCCCGTCCAATGTTGTTGGCCATGCTCCCTTGCGGCAAGTCGAAGTCGCGCTGCGGGTCCATGAACTCGCTTTCGCCGTCGGTTACGGGCTCCGACGTGCGCTCCTCAACAGCAGTCGGCCGCCTGGAAAGGACGACATTGAGTTACCAAGTCAGAACGAACGTTCCAGGCACATCAAGCCCAAGTGGGCCGCCTCAGAATGGGCATCGCTTAACGGGGGGCGATCACGTGCGTTCGTTATTAGTAGATGACAACTACACAGTGAGCGAAACAACACATAAAGGAAGGGACTTGCACAAATTGCGATAATCAGCGAGTATAATCTTGGTCCGAGCTATCAGTAATCCTAGTTGCATGCTGATGCTTTCGACGTCCGTGATTACACGTTTCGCAGTCCCTCGAGCGGGTCACTCAAACCAATCCTCCAGTGGATCTGCACCTCAGGACAAAGGTGAATCTCCACCGAAGAGGGCTTGCCAACATCTAGAAAACCCCAGAAACCCTGAGGAAACGAAAAGAGAACGACTGCCGGAAGAGAGCCGAGCGAAACCAACAAAAACCAATATCTTCGACAGATGCTAACACAGCGCAACTTGATATCGTGGGTTTCCTCACCCGCAGCTCCACTGAAAGACGTTCTCCACGCTGTTCCGCTTCTGCAGCACGTTCTGGTGCCACTCGTTCCATCCAGCCTCCCCTTCGAGTGCGCCCCGGATCGCGTCGTTCGTTGGCGACAGCGCAATCAGCTTGTTCGCCATGCGCGTTAAGTGGCCCATGTAACCGGCACGGCTAGGCCCGCGACTGCTCGTTTTTGGGGTTCCCTGCACACAAAGGATACAGGAATCAGCTTTCAGACACCTAGGTTAAGCGAACATGGGCCGTGGTTGGGTTTGCTGAGCCTTTAGGGAGAGAAGCTTTGCATATTACAGGAATAAGCTGAGAGCCTGAGGACAGAATTCGGAGGATGTGACCAAAAAGCTCCCGATGACCTGTGAACAAGGTATATGCGAACTTCCTGGATTGGGGGTCCGTCACGACTCTGCCTTCCAACTCTGCACTACGCTAGGTCGACCAAGCACATTCTACCCCTTCTGCCTGCCGGATATTTCAACGACTGGCGCCACAAACTCAAGAATTGGCGTCACGATTGATCTTGCATGCCCTTTGCCACACAACTACTCATGTATTTGCAAAACCCAGAAGTCCGTCGGCAAAGCTCACCGTGGGGGTGGTATCTGGTGCGTGCGGGTCTGCGTCGGCTGATAAGATCCGAGAAACAAGCTTGCAGTCCTTAAGGAGATGGTCCAGGAGCGCAGGGTTCGAGTCTTCAAGGCAGCTGTTCACAATGGACTCCACCTGATGGTGGACCAGGTTATTGAACGGGAAACTGCACAAGGAAAACTGCGTATCAATGCGACAGTTTGGAGGCTTCCTTTCGGCAACAAACTGTGCTTTCTCAGGAAGTCGACTGAGTGGATGGTAACTGTAATCCTAGCCCCCTGATCTCACAGGTCGAGCAAATTTCGCACTCATGACTACCCGGCAACGAAACTTGCAAGGGATATTTCAAAGTACTGTCTGCTTGCGATGACTACAGTGCGCCGGAGAATGGATTTTAGAAAATTCCGACGTTACGAGAAAGGGAGATCAAGCATAAGAACACGGAGCGCACATTGAGGACGCTGTCGATGGTCAGCAAACTCAAGGACTTTCTCAACTTTTCTCTGCTCATCTTCTGCACCTTGACATAAGGAACACAGATGACAAGGTCAGAACATTAAGAAACCAGGACAACATTCAGGACTGCGGAACTCACTCGAAGAAGAGGTCAAGAACAGTGTTGATCGCCATGAGGCGCATGAGCTCTTCGGCGGCCGGGACGCTCCCCGTGCGCACGAGCACCGCAATGAACTCCACGATCTTCAGCCGGTGGATGCCGAGCGGCGGCGACAGCTGGCCGTACGTGGTGGGCAGCACGTGCTCGTCGCCCTTCACGGCTAGCAGCTTCAGAAGGTCACCTGGAACATGCAAACGTCAGAGTTTTAACACCTTGTATTTCAATTAAGGTTGAGTCGAACATCTTCAGCCAAAGGATATCGAGGGGGGCCCGCTGCCATCAGCCATCGCTGGTCGTTTCTTGAGAAGATACCTCAATCTATTGAGTCAGGTGGATACGGAAGTATGGCAAGCATTTAGGTGTGGCTCGTAAGCACTACGCATTCGTCGCCCTGTTTTAGGGGGAATTCAACAGTCAGGTTGCCTAGCAAGATGGCTTTGAAATAAAATGCCTTTCGACGATCTTAAGTTTCTTGATGACGCGATGGCTTTGAAATATAATGCCTTTCGACGATCTTAAGTTTCTTGATGACGCTATTGGAGACCCTGAGTCGTTCCAAAAAGCGAACAGACTTTCGCAAGTGCGCTTCACGAGCGGGAAATTGCACCAGGTGCGAAACATCATATCTCAACGTCAAACAGCGGGCTTTGAATGTAAGACATTCGGATAGAAGTGAACCTCTAAGCTGACGCCCTTTTCAAACAAGAATCTGCAAGGCCACCGACAGCGTCAATGCATAATCATCTGAGAAACTTGACAATCTCACTCACCTAGTTGCTGGAGCATTCCGTCGACAGTCTCCGGCGCGGCCGCAATCAGCCCCCCCGTGCCCGGCTGCAAGTTCTGGATCCCCCGGGCCTGGCCGGCGGCCGCCGCGGCCGAGATCCTCTTCGGGTCTAGCAGCGTTATGCACACCGAGAGGGCGTTTATGAGGGACGACTTGGACTGGGGACTGGAGAGGACGTGCTTGAAGAGCTTAGAGATGTAGTCGGGGCTCGCGAGCTGAGACGCGAGCGCGGAGGGCGCGGTGCGCGCGACCGCGGAAAGGGTGTCGGCCGTGTTGGTGTGCACGTCGGGGGATTGCTGTACAGGAGAAGAACTCCCGTGTGAGGATTTTGGCACTACTTTACAAGTCGGAGAGACAACTTCCGGGCTGGAAGACGGATCAAAGACAGACTGCAAACAGTCTTACGACTCGTCACCCGATTGGTAAGGGGGAGTAAGCGAAATCAGATTTTCGAGCACTGTATGTGCCCTGCGCACTTGAACGATTTGCGAAACCTGCTCGCAAATGCTGCAGATCGTTCCTGCATCCTTCGAAGGGAGCCCCGAAAGCACAGGAGTTTGTCTACTGAATGACTCGAAGCGGCATGTCGGGTACACGGACCTGACGCCAAAAATACAGTTGGATCGGGGAGGCTTCAATAAAGACTTGTGCGATAGCACGTAGTACCTTCAATTCGGACCACGTGGACAAACTCGGTACTCGAGAATCACCTGTGGGTCAAGTTTCTCGACGAGCATCTCGAGGAGATCCGTGTCGGCGAGCCACTGGACCGCATCCGCATGGAACATTAAGATCTGCTCGTCTGCTCCCACAAGGCGCATGACGACCTGCGAATAAAATACACTCCATCACTTAGGCTTCCAAAAGAGGTGTACTTCTTCATTGAATTTGTTCCGGATTGTCGTTTCGTGGGCCATTCACCAAGGATTACCTTCTTTTTCGGGGCGCTTTCTTGGCTGAGAAACGTACTACGTTATAGCTTGCCACTAAGAACTGCAAAATACTTCACCTCCATAGGAGAGTAAGGGCAACAGGTCCACGAAATCTCTTGAAACGTCTTGACGATCTTGCATATATCCGTTAGAGATGTAAGGCCTTGAGTTTCTGAAACCTGCATCCAAAGCTCACCTCCATGATCGAGGTGATGCCAATCAGATCCACGAGCTTCTTCAGATAGTCCCGGTGGTTCTGCAGGTACCGCATCACGTCGTGCGTGCGCCGTACGAGCAGGCAGATGACCACTTTGCAGAAGTAGCCCGAGAGGAGCGCCCCGTGGGGGCGGTCGGGGGAGGCAAAGGAGAAGAGCAGGTCCATGAGCTGGCCAAAGATAAAACGCGCGTGATCAATTTGCCGACAAGTTCGATCATTCTGTTGTGCTTTTGTCGTCGCTTGGAATGCGGGACATGTTAAGGTCGACACAGCAGCCACGGGGATAACATGCACACTTTAGTACTGCGAATTCCAAAGAGCAAAACAACTGAAAGTCTGCAGAAGTGCAGTACCAGTCCTGAATCAAGTGGGTCATGAACACTGGGTTCTTGTCAAAGTTCAATGCTAATCATGCTTTCCGCTGCACGGTATGAACAAAGATGAGATGCCGCGAACAGCAACAGCTTGCAAAGATGCCAATGGCAGCTCTTATGCCTTACAGAAGCTCTTTTCATCTTTGCGCAGAGCACTCGAACTTTGCAATGCTTATGCTCCACTCGAAGAACGTCATTGGACTATTATGTGTTGCGAGTTCCATTGATATTGCGTGAATGAGTTTGATGATGTCATTGCCGGAAGCCGTTCACATATTACACAAAATCGGAGGTGCGATACATGGGGGTTTTCCAATTTCAACCAGAGGAGCAGGGTTACGAAGGCCTATGAGGCGGCACTGCGGGGATGACCAAAGAGAATTGGTGCGGACGAGACGTCTGCTAGTGCTAGGACCGATCCTTGGTCCAAACACGGAAAGGGTTTCGACACCGTACCTCTTCGCTCTCCAACAAGGTGTTAAAGATTGCATCGATCTCGCATGTGAAGACCTCACAAGAAACGAAGGGGTACCTGCAAAGGGTTGAAACATATGTTTGAGTGGCTGCAACCCAAAGCTGGAGCCCCTGCTAGAGCGAGCCATGTGCACAAGCTCACATGCAAATCAATAACGAAGCTCAAGCCCGAAACGGTTTCTATAAGTACGAATTGACCCAGATACTGGAGGGCTGATGAAAAGGTCCTGCATGTTAACATGGCGTGTGGCAGCAACGCTAGTCAATGTAAATTGAGATGTCAAGGTACCGGCTTCTTGAGAGGGACCACCCAAACCAACAGAAAAAAGATAACCCAATCATATGCATCAACAGTGAACAGCGAATGTCCTGACATGACTTGATCATGACAAAATGAAATTGTCGTGCCAGATGTTATACTACCTCGCTTCCTGCCCTTGAACGGGCAAGCTTCTTTGTTGACAAGCGTCAGGTCTGCTTTTTAAGAAGTAATGATGGGCCTGTCTTGGGAAGATTTTCTCAAGACATGATACTGGCAGCTGTGTTCTCTGGTTCCGTGAAAGCCAACAACTTACTTGAAAAGCCGTTTGTCGTCCGCGTCTGGTGGGGGTTCCTCCACAACATACTTGAGAAGCTGCTCGACCTGGGGACGGTTCCGAAGGCTGCAGGACAAGAGGACGCCAGAAAGGGGTCCTTAGAAAGAGTCGTAAAGCAGATTCAGTTGCTCTAATCAATCGGTTTGGCAGGCTGCGATCCTCTTTCATGGCAGATGCTAGGATCCTGACACCTGGTTACTTGCAAGCGTATTTCAGTGCAACGGCTTGCTATGCCCCCAGAGTAAAATGTGGCTGTTTTTGCAGCGCAGAGTCTCCCTTTTTCTTCGTCGAACACTTCCTGTATGAAACTTTAGAGTGTTGGGCAAAAAAAATCGTCATTTACTTATCGCGGCATTTTCGCCCGGTACAGTCAATGTGTAAGTCTCTTGAGACATTGCAACTCGAAGTCCTTCACAAACTGCACCGATGCTCTGTCCTTCTTAAGGCCTCTAAGTTAGGGTTTCTGGAACCGCAGGTCCTGATTACGATCCATGGAGCACAATGTGACCAACAATGCAGCGCTTCTCTGGACTAAACTTGATCTTGGTACATCTTGAACTTGGCGCTGAATTTGAGGGCAAAGCACAATTGCCAGTACCGCAGCTACTCGGCGGTCTGTCCCTCTTTGATATGGAGCCACAACAAGCCTCGGAAAGCAATGCACCCTGATCTTCCTTGACAGTGAGATACTATGCTCCATCTATCAGAAAGCGTTCAGGAGATTTGGATTTGAAAAGCACAAGCAGCATCTACTCAGCGCCACACAGATCTGCAGCTACGACTGACCTGTCCTTAGCAGCAGGCTGTCAATTTCTTGTAATCAATTTCACCAATTCGTCTCCTAGATTTTTAGTAACTTGTTTACCAACTGATCTTGGAGGAACCGGATTCGATTCACCAAACACTCAACTTCAGCCATTTCTCCAGATTCAATGCACAACAGACTTGACTTCAGCCGTAGATGACGGCGCACTCACTAGCTCACAAGACGCCCGTTCATAGACTTGACCTCCTGTATAAGATCATCTTCATCAAGAAGATTCTCTAGCGTAAAAGACTCCTTGTCAAGCACGGTCTCCACCTGCAACAAGAGGAAGCATCCATATGACACCAGGTAAAACAGGGCAAGTACGGAACATGCTCCTCTGGGAAAACTTGTTCACTACAAAGGCACTTTGATATCCGCTCAAACCTGATCGCCAAACCCTAAGCCCTGTCTTTGACGGTTACCACAGTGAGCGAGTCTTTAAGCATCTGCCACAGAAGAGTGCAAGTCTTGACTGCTAGGACTTTCTCTTGGGCCAGCAGGAAGCGGTAAAAGTCCAGCTTCGTATTGCAGGCGGTACTTGCACGTACCGGCGACGTAGTAGCCAGCCCAGCCACCCGCCAAAACATGATGCCGTCTCCAAAAACCCCTCCTGGTGAATCCTGGAGTTGTGCTGACAAAGTGCACCAAGCAGCCGGGAATAGGCCAACAAGAATTTCCAGCAACTCTTTACCTTAACCGCTGAACAGATCCCTCGTACTGCTCAATTTTCAAGGCTGCTGCAATCCAAATCGCAGGCCTACACTGCCAGGTTCACAAGCTGCTTGGTTTGCCAGAGTCTCCCAACTTGTGCTGTCCCACACAGATCTTGCTTCCGCCAAGCACGCTATTTTTTACAGATTACAGCAAGCCACCACTGCAAAGAAAGGACCCTGCTCCAACGCACACCTTCTTCTACTACGTGCTGCCATGATGAATGATAGCACCATGACCTTCAGGCTTCAGTGAGCTGTCCCCTTTCCTGGCTTTCTGCTTTTGAACACCGCCATCGTCTTGAAGTTGCAGCCCAAATTTGGAAGAGATCGTCGCGAGCATTTGGAGCACAGCGTTACGTCTCCTTCTGAGAACGCTAGACTGGAAACAAATCTCCCACGAAAACATTGGAATGTAACACGGTCTCCTCTCGAAGCAAAAATTGCCCCGCCAAAAAGAGCGCCAAGCGCAACACACGTGCCAGCATTAATGCTCAAAAGCAAGAAGAAGGAAGCAGCTTCTCTGA